ATTGCCTGAACCCAGCAGGCGGAGGTTGCGGTGAGCCGAGATCCCGCCATTGCACTCCAGCCTGGGTAACAACAGCGGAACTCCGTCTCAAAAAAAAAAAAAAAAAAGCCAGGTGTAGTAGCACACACCTGTAGACTCAGCTACTTGGGAGGCTATAGTAGGAGTGTTGGGGTTCAGGGGAGCCCTTAGGTCCCATCAGAGGACGTTTCTCCAGGGTTCTTGGTCTCCTGCTCTCTCAAGAATGAGAGAGGGGACCAGGTGTGATCGCAAGGGAAATACCAGACCCCAAACAGTGTTGCAGAAAAGTGATTTTATTTTAGGTAGAGAAAGAGAAAAAAAAGAAGAAAACTTCCACATAAGGGTGGGGGAGGGGATCCAAACGTTGAGTCTGAAGGGGTGTGGAAGAAGACTTTTAAACCTAGGAGGAACCCCCACCTTCTCCAACACCTCTGGCCAATGAAAGGATCTTTAGAACTTCCGCTGGAGTGATTGACTTGATTCTTCCCACAGCCGCGAAAATTAAGAGAGACCTTTAAATCTTCTGGATGGAGAGATGGGAGTGGGGCATGGCACTGGGAAGTTTTTGCCACTAAAACTACACCCTCTTACGGAGCCGGAAAGAGAACACATTCCCTCAGGAGGAACCCTTGGGCCCTTCAGTGAGCTATGATCTTATCACTGTACTCCAGCCTGGGTGACAGAGCAACACTGTCTCTGAAAAAAACAATAATTAGGCCAGACGCTATGGCTCATGCCTGAAATCACAGCACTTTGGGAGGCCCAGGTGGGCAGATCACTAGGTGAAGAGATTGAGACGATCCTGGCCAACATGGTGAATCCCAGTCTCTACCAAAAATACAAAAATTAGCCAGGCATGGTGGCGCCTGCCTGTACTCTCAGCTACTCAGGAGGCTGAGGCAGGAGAATCACTTGAACCCAGGAGATGGAGTTTGCAGTGAGCTGAGATCGTGCCACTGCACTCCAGCCTGTTAAGAGTGAGACTACGTTTAAAAAACCCAAAAAAACCCCCAAAAATAATAGTAAGGGCTGGGAGTGGTGTAATCCCAAAACTTTGGGAGGCTGAGGCCAGCCTGGCCAGCATGGTGAAACACCATTTCTATTAAAAATACAAAAATTAGCTGGGTATTGTGGTGCATGCCCGTAATCCCAGCTACTTGGGATGCCGAGACATGAGGATAGCTTGATCTCCAGGGGAGGTGGAGGTTGCAGTGTGCAGAGATTGTGCCACTGTACTCTCTAGCCTGGCGACAAGAGATAGACTCGCCTCAAAAACCAACAAAAGACAAAAATATAATTGTTGTGTATTTTTTTTTTTTTTTTTGAGACGGAGTTTCGCTCTTGTTACCCAGGCTGGAGTGCAATGGTGCAATCTCGGCTCACCGCAACCTCTGCCTCCTGAGTAGCTGGGATTACAGGTACGTGCCACCATGCCCAGCTAATTTTTTGTATTTTTTAGTAGAGACGGGGTTTCACCATGTTGACCAGTATGGTCTCGATCTCTTGACCTCATGATCCACCCGCCTCAGCCTCCCAAAGTGCTGGGATTACAGGCGTGAGCCACCGCGCCCGGCTTTCTTTTTTCTTTTTTTTTTTTTTGAGATGGAGTCTCACTCTGTTGCCCTGGCTGGAGTGCAATAGCGTAATCTCGGCTCACCGCAACCTCCAACTCCTGAGTTCAAGTGATTCTCTTGTCTCAGCCTCCTGAGTAGCTGGGATTACAGGCACCTGCCACCACAGTAATTTTTATATTTTTAGTATAGATGGGGTTTCACCATGTTGGCCAGGCTGGTCTCTAAGTCCTGACTTCAAGTGATCTGCTGCCTGCCTTGGCCTCCTAAAGTGCTGGGATTACAGGTGTAAGGCACTGTGCCTGGCTAGAATTGTTGGGTATTGATCTTGTATGCTTCAACCTTACTCAATTTATTAATTCTAGGAGCTTTTTAGTGATGCCCTTAGGATTTTCTCTATTTAAGATCATGTTTTTGAGTCCAGTCCCAAGATGGCGGCCACCATGAGGTGGCTGCAGAAGATGTCAATGTTACTTTCGAAGATCAACAAAAGATAAAAAAATTTGCACGGAATACAAGTAGAATCACAGAGCTGAAGGAAGAAATAGAAGTAAAAAACAACTCCAAAACCTAGAAGATGCTTGTGATGACATCATGCTTGCAGATGATGACTGCTTAATGATTATCAAATCGGTGATATTTTCATTAGCCATTCTCAAGAAGAAACACAAGGAATGTTAGAAGGAGCAAAGAAAAATTTGCAAGAAGAAATTGATGCCTTAGAATCCAGAGTGGAATCAATTCAGCGGGTCTTAGCAGATTTGAAAGTTCAGCTGTATGCAAAATTTGGGAGCAACATAAACCTTGAAGCTGTGGAAAGTTAAACATTTTTAATACTTTGTTTAATAAGCTTGAATATTGTTTAAAATGATAATTTCCCCGCCAGGTGCGGTGGCTCACACCTGTAATCCCAGCACTTTGGGAGGCCGAGGCGGGTGGATCACGAGGTCAAGAGATCAAGACCATCCTGGTCAACATGGTGAAACCCCGTCTCTACTAAAAATACAAAAAGTTAGCTGGGCATGGTGGCGCGTGCCTGTAATCTCAGCTACTCAGGAGGCTGAGGCAGGAGAATTGCCTGAACCCAGGAGGCAGAGGTTGCGGTGAGCCAAGATCGCACCATTGCACTCCAGCCTGGGTAACGAGTGAAACTCCGTCTCAAAAAAAAAAAAAAAAGATAATTTCCCTTCTTCAAATGACATGGAAAGCAAAACTTTCTTTTTTTAAAATTTTCATTTATTTAATGGAAACTTGCCTATTTTCACGTCTTGCTTATTTATTTTATATTTTTAAAAGAAGACAGTATTCACCTATGTATTTTGCATAACGATTATATCAAGTCTAGGGACTTTATGTCATGTTACTAAAATCAGTTAAGCAATCAACAACAACAAAAAAAGATCATTTTTTTTTCTCTCTTTTTCAGATAAGGTCTCACTACCTAGTGGCATGGCTAGATTACATAGTAGATGTACTGTTAACTTTTCAAACAAACCAGCAAACTGTTTTCCAAAGTGGTTGTAACATTTTACATTTCCATCAGATGTGTATTTGGCCCTAATTTTTTTTTTTTTTTTTTTTTTGAGACAGAGTTTTCGCTCTTGTTACCCAGGCTGGAGTGCAATGGCGCGATCTCGGCTCACCGCAACCTCCACCTCCTGGGTTCAGGTAATTCTCCTGCCTCAGCCTCCTGAGTAGCTGGGATTACAGGCACACGCCACCATGCCCAGCTAATTTTTTGTATTTTTAGTAGAGACGGGGTTTCACCATGTTGACCAGGATGGTCTCGATCTCTTGACCTTGTGATCCACCCGCCTCGGCCACCCAAAGTGCTAGGATTACAAGCTTGAGCCACTGCGCCCGGCCGGCCCTAAATTTTTTTTGACTGATCTGATCTCTTCCCCTTGATAGGAAAATCTGAATGTTTCCAGTACCCAGGAGTGTGCCATGTCCTAAAGCCTTGTATATACAAAACAGCATTTATTAAAACCTGGAGTGCTGTGGAAATATAAACAAAGCATATAGCTGTTTCTTTTGAAAGTGGAAGCAGTGGCCAGTAAAGGGCATACAAAGGGTATGTATAAACCCTTGTTAAGCCTAGCTAGCCACCTAAATCTTGGAAGACTTATGTTTACAAAGAATTCATCTACCACAATGAGAAAAAATGTTATTGACAACAATCTTCGGCAGTATAAAACTCAGATGCTCCACTGAGGTGAAAGAAATATGGACATGATACTAAGCAAAGTCTAGTCTTTTCCATAAAATAAATAAGAAGTAGGTTTGGTGGAACATTAATCCTCACATTTTGATAGGGCTATGTAGCTTTTAATGTAAGTCAGCAACATTAGAATGAGTTATAGAGAGTTTTATTTTTGCAAATATAGTGAGTGACAGATGGTAATTACAGGAGGCTATTTGAACAAAGGTGGATATGAGCCTAAACAATTTCACCTAGATAAAATATTGATGTAATAACCAAACTGTCTGGTAGAGGACCCTTCGATCCCCTCTTGCTCCCACCCAGGCCCCGGCCACGTGGAAAATACCTAACCTCACCACATGGATATCCTTTGTCTCACACTGCCCAGCGTCCTAGCCCCAAGCACAAACGACCCTGGGTGACTCAGCAACTTTCTGCCCAGCAACCGATCAGACCAATCACCGACCACCTCATCAGCCCTTCGCTGACTTCCCGCCTGATGGTCAAACTGACCAATCACCATCTGTCACATCAGCTCCGTCACTCCCTGGTTCCCCCACCTCTATAAAAATCACGGAAGAAAGAAAACCGGCGGGAGACTGCTGACTCTCCCCTGCTGTACGGGTCCAGTCAGTCCGCCCGGGGATTTTTTCCAATAAAGCCTGAACATCCTGTCCATTCGGCTCTATGTAGCTCAATTGGCTTTATTCCTGGGGTCTCAGCAAACAAGTGGTCCAGGCAGGCCGGACACAAACCACATGGCCCCATTTCATAAAGGGTACTATATTCTGTAGACTAGAGAGTGAAGAGGTGGCCTTTCTACCCCAGCTTACCCTACTCTTGTTATTGTTCAATTTCTACTGAATCTTGTATAATTAGCTGCCAACAGGTAAATGCTATTGCCTAGGAGAAGACTGCAGTTCTGTTCATACTAGAACCAGCAGGGAGAACTTGACTTTAAAAATCTAGGACCAGAATCTTAGGAAGGGTCTCATTAGAAAACTGAGTTGTATAGGGACTTAAGCAAAAACCATCCCAAAGAATTTGAGCTTTAATGTGATAATGTCTTTTGAGAGATAAGAGCCATGGACGTGACATAGAATATAAACAGTTAGTAGAAAAAGATCTCATGACTAAAGTGGAGAAGAAAGAAAAAAAAAAAAAAAAAAAAAAAAAAAAAAAAAATTACAAAAGGAAAGATAGTTGAGAATACAGGAATATTTACAAGATGTTAAAAAATTACTAATCTTCAGCCAAAATGAGGCCCCGTCGCACTCCCAAAAGCTTTGCTTTCTTCTCCTTTCGTTCTTGCTCATGTTTCTTCCGTTGCTCTTCCCTGAGAGGGACAGGTCACACATTAAGCTCTAGTGAGGCTCCACAACAGACACTTTAAAGCGACTGTTGTTGGACTAACACCAAAACTTTTAAGCAATGATATCCAGCATACTTGTGTAAAACAGACTCTTACAGAGCACTGTGCTCTGCCTAGTGTTTCTAACACCTGTTTGTCGTTGTTTTAAAGGTCTAGAAACTGGTATTTTCCTTTTTGTTAACTGGACACTCTAAAATCATGCATGGAGGCCAGGCGTGGTGGCTCACGCCTATAATCCCAGCACTTTGTGAGGCCGAGGCAGGTGGATCACGAGGTCAGGAGATCGAGACCATCCTGGCTAACACAGTGAAATCACATCTCTACTAAAAATACAAAAAATTAGCCAGGCATGGTCGTGGGTGCCTGTAATCTCAGCTACTAGAGAGGCGGAGGCAGGAGAATTGCTTGAACCGGGAAGGCAGAGATTGTAGTGAGCTAAGATCTCGCCTTAGCACTACAGCCTGGGCAACAAAGTGAGACTCTGTCTTAAAAACAAACCAAAACAGGAACAACAACAAGCCAGTATGATGGGTGATGCCTATAATCCCAGCTACTGGGGAGGCTGAGGCAGGAGAATCACTTGAACCTGGGAGGCCAAGGTTGCAGTGTGCCGAGATCGTGCCATTGCACTCTAGCTTGGGTGACAGAGCGAGACTCAAAAAAAAAAAAAAAAAAAAACCAAAAAAACCAAAACAAACAAACAAAAAACACAAACAATAAAATCATGATGGAATTGTAGTCAGAAGTCACCTTGGTGATTGAATCCAACTCCTACTATTTTACAACTTGGTTTAGGCTGGATGCAGTGGGTTACACCTATAATCCCAGCATTTTGGGAGGCCAGGGTGGGAGGATCACTTGCCCAGGAGTTCAAGGAGGCAGTAAGCTATGATCATGCCATTGTACTACAGCCTGGGTGACAAAAAGTAAGACCCTGTCTCTAAGAAAAAAAAAAGTTTGTTTTAAATGTGAAATGTCTACATCTAGAAATCAAAGTCAAAGGTCAAGCTGAAAATCACATAGTTTAGTCAAAGGAATAGAACTAGAACCAGGGTCTGAGTTAGCCATTATGCTTTTCTCTCAGAGGATTAGACAAAAAAAAAAAAAAAAAAAGAAAAAGAAAAAGAAAAAAAAAAAGCCCAAGATTATGTTAACGAATCTTAGTAACAGTGAGCAAAGGCCTTGGTGGCAGTTGGATATAGGCACGAGTCAAATGATAGGTAACCCTGTGTCAGGAGGGTCCAGGCAGGGAATCTGGACCCAACCATAACTTGCTGCAATGCAGGATGAGCTCTGGCTTTAACCTGGTTTTCATGCTGAAGGAAGCCTCTAAGGACCATCCTGGGTTTTTCCTCTTTATAGGGCCTTGATGCTTTGTAAGCCTGGTTTCCTTAGGAGTGAGGAGTTTATGTCTGTCTGGATACGTAGGTGCCCTAAACTGTTGGACATTGGTATCTGGAGAGATAACCATGTGCACTGTTTTCAGGCAGACAAGTCATGCAAGAGCAGTGCTCTGAATCTGGATCTTCTTCTGAATCACCTACAGAACCTTGGAAACAATGCAGGTGCTTGGGCCTCACCCTAAACCTGCTGATTTGGAGGTCCATTACACTGGGACCTACGCATATGTACTCAGAAAGTTCTATACATGATATCACTTCTAACCTCCTCTTAAAACACCACTATTACTGAGCCTCTGTCCCTCTTGAGGTGCTGCTTTTGAAATTAAAATAATCATAAAGCTGTGTAATTAGGTACTTACTTTGTCTGGAGACGGGGTTGTTTGTAAGTTTTCTTGTGGAAATTAATTCTGTTGACATGTCCATTCAAATAATTATTTTCTTCAGAGTGCCCCCATGGTTTTAGCTTTCCTAGTTTAAGACAGAGACAAAGAGTTTTAAGAAGATTGGTTGATTTATATTCCTAACTTCATTCTCTTCATCTGTGGTTACCTGGTATCAACATTTATCCCTTTTTTTTTTTTGAGACAAGAGTTTCTCTTGTTGCCCAGTTCTGGAGTACACGATCTTGGCTCACTGCAACCTTCACCTCCTGAGTTCAAGTGATTCTCCTGCCTCAGCCTCCCGAGTAGCTGGGATTACAGGCATGCACCACCATGCCCAGCTAATTTTGTATTTTTAGTAGAGATCAGGTTTCTCCTTGTAGGTCAGGCTGGTCTCAAATTCCCAACCTCAAGTGATCTGCCTGCCTTGGCCTCCCAAAGTGCTAGGATTATATGTGTGAGCCACTGTACCTGGCCTATACTTTTTTTTTGAGGGTCTTACTCTGTCTTTCAGGCTGGAGTGCAGTGGTGTGATCTGATCTCAGCTCAGTGCAATGTCTGCCTCCTGGGCTCAAGTGATCCTTCCAGCTCAGCCTCATGAGTAGCTAGGACGATAGATGCACGACACCATGCCCGGGTAATTTTTTTTTTTTTTTTTTTTTTTTGAGACAGAGTTTCGCTCTTGTTACCCAGGCTGGAGTGCAATGGCGCGATCTCGGCTCACCACAACCTCCGCCTCCTGGGTTCAAGCAATTCTCCTGCCTCAGCCTCCTGAGTAGCTGGGATTACAGGCACGTGCCACCATGCCCAGCTAATGTTTTGTATTTTTAGTAGAGACGGGGTTTCACCATGTTGACCAGGATGGTCTCGATCTCCTGACCTCGTGATCCACCCGCCTTGGCCTCCCAAAGTGCTGTGATTACAGGCTTGAGCCACCGTGCCCGGCCTGTAATTTTTGAATTTTTTACTAGAGACAGGGTTTCATTGTGTTGTCCATATTGGTCTGGAACTCCTGTTCTCAAGCAATCTGCTTGCCTTGGCCTCCCAAAGAGTTGAGATTATAGGCATGAGGCAATACGCCCAGCTAATTTGCAATTAAAAAAAAAGAAACTCCAGGTGCGGTGGCTCATTCCTGTAATCCCAACACTTTGGGAGGTCGAGGCAGGCGGATCACGAGGTCAAGAGATCGAGACCATCCTGGCCATGGTGAAACCCCGTCTCCACTAAAAATACAAAAATTAGCTTGGTGTGGTGGCATGCGCCTGTGGTCCCAGCTACTTCGGAGGCTGAGGTGGAAGAATCGCTTGAACCCAGGAGGAGGTTACAGTGAGCCCGAGATTGCACCACTGCACTCCAGCCTGGTGACAGAGTAAGACTCTGTCTCAACAACAAAAAAAAGGCTGGGCGTGGTGGCTCACGCCTATAATCCCAGCACTTTGGGAGGCCAAAGTGGGTGGATCACGAGGTCAAGAGATCGAGACCATCCTGGTCAACATGGTGAAACCCCATCTCTACTAGAAATACAAAAATTAGCTGGGCATGGTGGTGAGTGCCTGTAGTCCCAGCTACTCGGGACGCTGAGGCAGGAGAATTGCTTGAACCCAGGAGGCGGGGGTTGTGGTGAGTGGAGATCGTGCCATTGCACTCCAGCCTGGGTAACAAGAGCGAAACTCCATCTCAAAAAAAAAAAAAAAAAAAAAAAAGTGCTGGGCACAGTGTCTCACACGTGTAATCCTAGCACTTTGGGAGGCCAAGGCAGGAGAACTGCTTCAACTCAGGAGGTGGAGGTTGCAGTGAACCAAGACTGTGCCACCGCACTCCAGCCTGGTGCCTGGCAACACAGCAAGACTTTGTCTCAAAAAAATAAATAAAATAAAAAATAAATAATAAAAAAAGAACCACTGTATTCCAGCCTGGGCAACAGAGTGAAACTCTATCTCAAAAAAAAAAAAAAAAAAAAAAAAAAGAAAAGAAAAGCAGGACATAGACCCAGGTGTAGTAGTATGTATGCCTGTACTCCCAACTACATGGGAGGCTGAACTGGAAAGATCACTTGTGGCCAGGAGTTCAAGGCGGCAGTGTATGCTATGACCATACCTATGGATAACCACTGCACTCCAGCCTGAGACCACATTTCTGGAAGTTTATGTGTCGCTTTTAAAATTGAATTATTATTATTTTTTGAGACGGAGTCTTGCTCTGTCACCAGGCTGAATTGCACTGGCGTGATCTTGGCTCACTGCTACCTCTGCCTCCTAGGTTCAAGTGATTCTCCTGCCTCAGCCTCCCAAGCAGCTGGGACTACAGGCACCTGCCACCACACTCAGCTAATTTTTTCTTCTTCTTCTTCTTTTTTTTTTTAAGAGACAGAGTCTTGCTCTGTCACCCAGGCTGGAGTGCAGTGGCGCCATCTCATCGAACTGCAACCTCTGCCTCCTGGTTCTATTAATTCTCCTGTCTCAGCCTCCTGAGTAGCTGGGATTACAGGCATACGCTACTGCACCCGGCCAATTTTTTGTATTTTAGGAGACGGGATTTTACCGTGTAGCCCAGGCTGGTCTTGAACTCCTAATCTCAGGCAATCCACTCACCTCGGCCTCCCAAAGTGCTATGATTCCAAGTGTAAGCCACCGCACCCAGCCTAGGTAATTTTTGTAGTTTTAGTAGAAACGGGGTTTCACCATGTTAGCCAGGATGGAAGTTAAGGTTTTTTTTTCTTGAGACGGAGTTTTGCTCTTGTTACCCAGGCTGGAGTGCAATGGCGCGATCTCGGCTCACCGCAACCTCCGCCTCCTGGGTTCAGGCAATTCTCCTGCCTCAGCCTCCTGAGTAGCTGGGATCACAGGCACGCACCACCATGCCCAGCTAATTTTTTGTAGTTTTAGTAGAGACGGGGTTTCACCATGTTGACCGGGATGGTCTCGATCTCTTGACCTCGTGATCCACCCGCCTCGGCCTCCCAAAGTGCTGGGATTACAGGCGTGAGCCACCGCGCCCGGCCGGAAGTTAAGTTTTTTTAAACACTGAAGTCTCACTATTTTGCCCAGGCTATAGTGCAGTCTATCCATAGGTATGGTCATAGCAGCCTTGAACTCCTGGCCACAAGTGATCCTCCCAGTTCAGCCTCCCATGTAGTTTGGAGTACAGACATACACACTGAAATAGGGTTTCACTCTGTTGCACAGGCTGGAATGCAGTGGTACAGTCATGGCTCACTGTAGCCTGAATCTCCCTGGCTCAAGCAATACTCATACCTCAGCCTCCTGAGTAGCTGGGACCATAGGCACATGCCACCATGCCCTAATTAAAAAATTTTTTTTGTATAGACAAGGTCTTGCTAAGTTGTTCAGGCTGGTCTTGAACTCCTGGGCTCAAGCCATCCTTCTGCCTCTGCCTCCCTAAGTGCTGGGATTATAGGCATGAGCCACTGCACCCTGCTGAATCAAGTATTTATTTGTTTAATAGGAGGTCTTTGTTTCTTTCTTTCTTTTTTTTTTTTTTTGAGACGGAGTTTTGCTCTTGATACCCAGGCTAGAGTGCAATGGCGCAATCTCGGCTCACTGCAACCTCCGCCTCCTGGGTTCAAGCAATTCTCCTGCCTCAGCCTCCCGAGTAGCTGAGACTACAGGCGTGCGCCACCATGCCCAGCTAGTTTTTGTAGTTTTAGTAGAGACGGGGTTTCACCTTGTCGACCAGGATGGTCTTGATCTCTTGACCTTGTGATCCACTCACCTCAGCCTCCCAAAGTGCTGGGATTATAGGCGTGAGCCACCATGCCCGGCCCAGGAGGTCTTTTAAATCATGGGTCTATGTGGAAGCAGAGGCAGGGGAAAGAATTCTAGGTAGTCAAGTATGGCTTCCATTGGGTCACTAGACTTTTTGTTGTTGTTTTTTTACAACTTCAGAGGCAGAATAATTATTATTATCATTTTTGAGGCATGGTCTCACTCTGTCACCCAGGCTAGGCTGCAGTAGTGCAAACTTGGCTCACTGCAACCTCCACTTCCCTGGTTCCTTTGCCTCAGCCTCACAGGTAGCTGAGATTACAGGTCCCCACCACTACTCCAGGCGAATTTTCGTATTTTTTTTTTCCAGTAGAGACAGGGTGTCACCATGTTGGCCAGACTGATCTTGAACTCCTGACCTCAAATGATCTACGTGTCCCAAAGTGCTGAGATTACAGGTGTGAGTCACTGTGCCCAGCATAAATTTGTTTAATCTTAAGTTTTTTTTTGGACTTTTTCTTTTTGAGACAGAGTTTCCCTCTTGTTGCCCCAGGCTGGAGTGCAGTGGCGTGGTCTCAGATCACTGCAACCTCTGCCTCCTGGGTTCAAGCGATTCTCCCGTCTCAGCCTCCTAAGTAAATGCCTGGCTTATGTTTGTATTTTTAGTAGGTGTGAGCCCCCGTGCCCCACCAATCTTAACTATTTCACAGGCCCTGTAGCTCAAAATACTCCTAAATACCTTTGTGTGGTTCATAGTTGAGGGGACGAGACAAACTTGCTTTAAGATCAAACACTGGTTTCTTATTCGAGACTGGAATCTGCATTGCCTCAGTTGTCAACTTGAATGGAGTAATAACTAAAAAAAAAAAAAGAAGAAAACCAAGTGCTTAGTTAGAAACAAAGACCTGTTAAAATGTTTGTCAAAGTGTTACTTCTCAATCTTAAAAATACATGTTATTGTCTGAATGTTTGTACCTCTTGCGACCCCAAATTCATGTTGAAATACTAACCCTCAATATGACTGGTGTAAGGAAGTAGGGCCTCTCAGAGGTAAGTAGGTCATGAATGGGATTCAGTGCCTCATAAAGGGACCCCGCAGAATTTTCTCTAGCTCTCTTTGTCATGAGCATACAACAAGAAGTTAGCAGTCTGCTACCTGGAAAAGAGCCCTCGCCAGAATCATGCTAGTGTCCTGATCTGTCTTCATTCAGCTTCCAGAATTATGAGAAATAAATTACTGCTGTTTATAAGATACAGTCTTTGTGCTTTGTTGTATAATAGCAGCCCCAAAGGACTAAGACAATCTACACCAGGCATCCCCAAACTTTTTACACAGGGGGCCAGTTGACTGTTCCTCAGACCATGGGAGGGCTGCCACATACTGTGCTCCTCTCACTGACCACCAATGAAAGAGGTGCCCCTTCCTGAAGTGTGGTGGGGGTCCGGATAAATGGCCTCAAGGGGCGGGCCGTAGTTTGGGGATGCCTGATCTACATGAATACTTTGAAATAGATGAAAGAGTCTGAAGTAAGGGTTAAAATGGAAACAAGGGAAGAAAACAATAACTGAGGAAGGCTAACCATTGAGTTTAGTTTCCTTTGCTAAACAGCTTTGTAAATATTCTGAATATGACATTTCTTAGTATCAGCTGGGAGTTTAGAATTCTGTTCAAAGAAATAACAGTGTGGCCAGGCGCGGTGGCTCACGCCTGCAATCCTAGCACTTTGGGAAGCGGAAGCAGGTGGATCACCTGAGGTCAGAAGTTCAAATCCAGACTGACCAAATGGAGAAACCCCATCTCTACTAAAAATACAAAATTAGCTGGGCGTGGCAGCCCATGCCTGTCATCTCAGCTACTGGGGAGGAAGAGGCAGGACAATCACATGAACCCACGAGGCAGAGGTTACAGTGAACCAAGATCTCGCATTGCACTCCAGGCTAGGCAACAAGAGGGAAACTCCATCTCAAAGAAAAAAAAAAAAGAAAGAAATAATAGTAATTTTTCAGCTTATTTCCCTGACAACAGTTACCCATAAAAATTATATATTGAAAAAGAAAAAAATATATATTGATAGTATCATTAACATTAATAAACATTAAAAAAACCTAATCACATAAAGTTGAAAGGATTCATGGCCTGGTGACTCATACCTGCAATCTCAGCACTTTGGGAGGCTGAGGCAGGAGAATTGTTTGTAGACAGGAATATTATTAATAAAGGCTGTTATCACTTAAGAATATGAATTTGGGCCGGGCGCGGTGGCTCAAGCCTGTAATCCCAGCACTTTGGGAGGCCGAGGCGGGTGGATCACTAGGTCAAGAGATTGAGACCATCCCGGTCAACATAGTGAAACCCCGTCTCTACTAAAAATACAAAAAATTAGCTAGGCATGGTGATGCGTGCCTGTAATCCCAGCTACTCAGGCGGCTGAGGCAGGAGAATTGCCTGAACCCAGGAGGCGGAGGTTGCGGTGAGCCGAGATTGCGCCATTGCACTCCAGCCTGGGTAACAAGAGCGAAACTCCGCCTCAAAAAAAAAAAAAAAAAAGAATATGAATTTTTTGGGGACTGGGTGTGGTGGCTAACGCCTGTAATCCCAACATTTCAGGAGGCTGAGGAGGGCGGATCACAAGGTCAGGAGATTGAGACTATCCTGGCCAACACAGTGAAAGCCTGTCTCTACTAAAAATATAAAAATCAGCTGGACGTGGTGGTGCGCACCTGTAGTCTCAGCTATTTGGGAGGCTGAGGCAGGAGAATGACTTGAACCCAGGAAACAGACGTTGCAGTGAGCCGAGGTTGCATCACTGCACTCCAGCCTGGTGACAGAGGGAGACTACATCTCAAAAAAAAAAAACAACAAAGAAAAAGAAAAAAATATAAATTTTTGAACCATGAAGTTAAAAATATCCGAGATGGTGAAGTTTTAGTTTTTTTCAGATGGAGTCTTGCTCTGTCTCCCAGGCTGGATGATATGACCTCGGCTCAGTGTAACCTCTGCCTCCCCGGTTCAAGTGATTCTCAAGCGAGTAGCTGGGATTACAGGTGTGTGCCACCAGGCCTGGCTAATTTTTGTCTTTTTAGTAGAGACGAGGTTTTGCCTTGTTGGCCAGGCTGGTCTCAAACTCCAGACTTCAAGTGACCTCCTGCCTTGGCCTCCCAAAGAGCTGGGATACAGCTGTGAGCCACTGTGCCCTGTCTAAAGACGGTATAGTTTAGTTAGCCTTTTTGCTATAGTTGGCCATCAGCTATCCAGCACGCTTTGTAATCCTTTCTTTTTTTGTTTTTTTTCTTTTTTTTTTGAGACAGGGTCTCACTCTGTTGCCCAGGCTGGCTGGAGTGCAGTGGCACAATCTCGGCTCACCGCAACCCCTGCTTCTTGGTTCAAGTGATTCTCCCACCTCAGCCTCCTGAGTAGCTGGGACTACAGGTACATGCCATCACGCCGGGCTAATTTTTGTATTTTTAGTAGAGATGGAGTTTCACCATGTTTGCCAGGCTAGTCTTGAACTCCTGACCTCAAGTGATCCACCTGCCTCAGCCTCCCAAAGTGCTGGGATTACGCGCAAGAGCCACTGTGTCCAGCCAATCCTTTCTCTTCATAGGGGGAAGCCACTTATAAGTTGTATCCAGGTGATTGCCAAATGTGAAAACTTGCCTCCATCTGTGAACCAGTAATCAGGATCTAAGATCAGCTAGTTAAACAAAAAAAAGCACAAAACCCTGTGTTGAAGGGATCCCACTGTATCAATATCAAGTGTCGGCAGGGAGTAGAATAAGGGGCTGCCATACACTGCCAGTGGAAAGCACGAATTGGTACAATTAATCCAGGGCAGTAAATGTCTGCATATTTTCCAATCCAGCTCTCCTGTTCCTAGGTCTAGGGAAATTCCTGCACAGGAGACATGTTTAAGAGTATTCACAGCAATACCATATATATAATCATGAAAGCTGGAATGACCCACATGTTCATGAATAGTACAATAGATAAATAAACTGACATATATTCATACCATTGAAAAATACAGTGAAAATGAGTTAACATGATTGAATCTTGAAACGTGTGGTTGTGCATGCCCGTAATCCCAGCTACTCTGGAGGCTGAGGCAGGAGAATTGCTTAAACCCAGGAGGCGGAGATTGTAGTGAGCCAAGACTGCACTGCACTCCAGCCTGGGAAACAAAAGCGAAACTCCGTCTAAAAAAAAAAAAAAAAAGAAAAAGAAAAAAGAAAAAAGAAATCGATGGCCAGGTGCGGTGGCTCACACCTGTAATCCCAGCATTTTGGGAGGCCAAGGCGGGCGAATTACTTGAGGTCAGGAGATCGAGACCATCCTGGCCAACATGGTGAAACCCTGTCTCTATTAAAAAAATATAAAAATTAGCTGCACTTGGTGGCGGGTGCCTGTAATCCCAGCTACTCAAGAGGCTGAGGCAGAAAAGCTTACATCAGGGACTCAGAGGTTGCAGTGAGCCGAGATCACGTCACTGCACTCCAGTCTGATGACAGAGTGAGACTTCATCTTAAAAAAAAAAAAACACCAGATTTTTTTTTAACCAGCAGAATTCCTCTTGGTGGTCTTGTGTGTCCCAAGCATAGCCTCACCTTTTGGGGTATTCCCAGACATGGTCACATGTGCAGACCTTCTGGCTGGAGTCTTGGTCAGTGAACGCTTATGCTCATTATCTTTAGTAGTAGCTGAAAACCTAAAAAGGACAGCAGAATACAAGACATGATTACTGTGGCAAGAGTAACTTGTATCTAGCTTATAAATAAAACTTTACCTAGGAATACAGTAGCAAAGAAAAAATGAAATAAATAAATAAAACCACTTGACCAATAGCAAACAGTGAAAAGGGCCTCGATGAATACTTGTCTTTTTTTTTTCTTACCCAAATCAAAAGGATTTTCCCAGCACAGAATACTTGTCATAGTAATGAACCTCTTTTGCAGAAGAGACATATTCCTAAAAGGCTGATGCTAAAATAAATCACATTTCAACTTCCGTTATTTGTAAAATATGTTCTGGTCTTTTCTGGTCTCTCTGCCTTGGACAATGATGGCCAAATAGAGATGACTAGCATTTATCCCTCAACAAGAAAGGATGAAGGCAACAAATAAACAGCTAAGATTCTTAGAATTTTATTTTATTATATTTTTGAGATGGAGTTTCGCTTGTTACCCAGGCTGGAGTACAGTGGCGCAATCTCGGCTCACCGCAACCTCCACCTCCTGGGTTCAGGCAATTCTTCTGCCTCAGCCTCCCGAGTAGCTGGGATTACAGGCACGTGCCACCATGCCCAGCTAATGTTTTGTAGTTTTAGTAGAGATGGGGTTTCACCATGTTGACCAGGATGGTCTCGATCTCTTGACCTCATGATCCACCCGCCTTGGCCTCCCAAAGTGCTGGGATTACAGGTGTGAGCCACCACACCTGGCGAATTTTTTTTTTTTAATTTATTTTATTTTTTTTTTTTTTTTTTTTTTTTTTTTTTTTTGAGACGGAGTTTCGCTCTTGTTACCCAGGCTGGAGTGCAATGGCGCAATCTCGGCTCACCGCAACCTCCGCCTCCTGGGTTCAGGCAATTCTCCTGCCTCAGCCTCCTGAGTAGCTGAGATTAAAGGCATGCGCCACCATGCCCAGCTAATTTTTTGTATTTTTAGTAGAGACGGGGTTCTACCATGTTGACCAGGATGGTCTCGATCTCTTGACCTCATGATCCACCCGCCTCGGCCTCCCAAAGTGCTGGGATTACAGGCTTCAGCCACCGCGCCCGGCCGAATTTTATTTTTAGAGATAGCTTTAGCTATGTTGCCCAGGCTGGCCTCAAACTTGTGAACTCAAACGATCCTCCTGCCTCAGCCTCCCAAGTAGCTGGGATTACAGGTGGAAGCCACCACAGAAAAAAGCTAAGATTTGACTGGAGTGTCAACAGGAAAGCAATGGAGTGCATCAGAGGAGTGGAGATGTACCTGTGGCAAATGGAGGCCCAGGAGGGCAGCCAGAGGCATCTAGCCTCTGCAGCCCTGTCTCCTCCACTAGAATCAGATCTGCCTGCAGTTAGGAGGGGATTCCTGTTGCGGAGAAACAGTAAACTGAAGATCCCCACCAGCCCCCATTGCTACTGCAGGCACCTACAGTCCTTACTACAGGAGAATACCCATGTTTAATACCCAAGTCTCCCAGTTTGGAGAGCTGCCAGGAATTACTGCACCTGTATTGCCTTGGATTAGGAGCACAAGGTGTGCACTCTAACTGCCATTAGCTTCTGCAGCACAGAACCATCTTGAGACGAGAACCACTTTTGGAATGCACTCTGGTCTGCTGGGGGCCAGTAGCCACTGCACGTCTCCAGCACTAGAGCTCCATATTCATTTGACCAAGCCCACAGGGTCTTGGTAGGGTTGGCTTCAACGTCATGACCCCAGTTGCTTGGAGCCTAAGCAGATGTGCTCAGGGCAAACATGCCCTCGAGCTGGCCAAACTGCCACATGCCCTTTCTGGAGTGGGAGACTCGAATCTCAAGCAGCTGACACACTCAGCTGCCTGTGCCTAGGGCCTGAGAAACAGCCTTGAGATGCCTCAATCCTGCAGAGAAGCCCCTGATCTGCCCAATGGGCCTGTAATCCTAGTAAGGGCCTGAGAAGCAGCATTTTTTTTTTTTTTTTTTTGAGAATGAGTCTCCCTTCTGTCACCAGGCTGGAGTGCAGTGGTGCGACCTTGGCTAACTGCAACCTCTCACTCCCTGGTTCAAATTATTCTCCTGCCTTAGACTCCTGAGTAGCTGGGATTACAGGCATGCACCAGCATGCCTGGCTAATTTTTTGTATTTTTAGTAGAGACGAGGTTTCACCATGTTGGCCAGGATGGTCTCAATCTCCTGACCTTGTGATCCACCTACTTCAGCCTCCCCAAATGTTGGGATTACAGGCGTGAGCCACCATGCCTGGTGAGAAGCAGCCTTATAAGCAGCCTCTGGTAGACATACCCCAAGACCAGCCAAGCAGTCATGCAACTGCATACCAGGCCTGAGAAACAGCCCCACAGTCCCAAACCTGGCAAAGCCACCATCACCACCAACTCTCTTAGCTTAGGCTACTGAGCAACTTGCAAATGCCACTAGAATTACAGTTGAAGAAACTACATAGACAATATATGTGCCCACCTAGAACCAAGAAACTACATAGACAGTATATGTGCCCACCCAGAACCAGTGCACTCCGTTTAACTGACACCCCAAGACCTATTCATATGAGTATGTTCTTCCCTGTGAAATCTTCTCTATAAAATCACAAGAGGCGACTTTCCTTTTTTTTTTTTTTTTTTAAAAGATGAGGTTTCACCATATTGGTCAGGATGGTCTTGAACTCCTGACCTCAGGTGATCCACCCACCTCATCCTCCCAAAGTGCTGGGATTACAGGCGTGAGCCACTGCGCCCGGCTAAGAGGTGACTTTCCTAACAGATGTGTAGAAATCAATGGAAGGACACATAAACCATGAAAATGCAGAGAAACAAGTCATATCCAAAGAAAAATGTTAATGCTCCAATAACCCTAATCATAAGAAAATATATGAAATACCAGAATAAGAATTCGAAATAATAATCTTAGGGGAACTCACTGAGATACAAGAGAATACAGACAGACAAGTCAATGAAATCAAGAAAACATGATTTGAATGAGAAATTTCAGAGCTAGAACGCTGGGTGCAATGGCACGTTTGTAACCCTAGCACTTTGGAAAGTCGAGGCGGGAGGGTCACTTAAGCCTAAGAGATCACGACCAGACGGGACAACATAATGAGAACTTGCAAAATTAGCTGGATGTAATGGTTTCAAAGAGCTAGAAGGAGGATACTAAATATTCACCATATGAAGAAATGATAACTGTTTGAGATGATGGATATGCTAATTACCCTGATCTGCTTACCATACAATATATGTATTGAAACATAACTAGGGGCCTGGCTCGGTGGCTCATGCCTGTAATCCCAACACTTAGGGAGGATGAGGCAGGCAGATCATGATCATCCTGGCTAACACAGTGAAACCCTGTCTCTACTAAAAACAAAAATTAGCTGGGCATGGTGGCACGTGCCTATAGTCCCAGCTACTTAGGAAGGGCTACTAAAAATACAAAAATTTGGGCTGGACATGGTGGCTCATGCCTGTAATCCTAGCATTTTGGGAGGCTGAGGCGGGTAGATCTCCTATGGTCAGGAGTTCGAGACTAGCCTGGCCAACAGGGTGAAACCCCATCTCTACTAAAAATACAAAAAATAGCTGGGTGTGGTGGTGCATGCCTGTAATCCCAGCTACTCAGAAGGCTGAGGCAGGAGAATCACTTGAACCCAGGAGGTAGAAGTTGCAGTGAGCCAAGATTGTTCCACTGCACTCCAGAATGGGCGACAAAGTAAGATTCTCTCTCTAAGGCTGGGTGCAGTGGCTCAAACCGGTAATCCCAGCACTTTGGGAGGCCAAGGCAAATGGATCACCTTAGGTAAGGAGTTCGAAAGCAGCCTGACCAATATGGTGAAATCCCGTCTCTACTAAAAATACAAAAATTTGCCAGGTGTGTTGGTATGTGTCTGTAATCCAAGCTACTCGGGAGGCTGAGACAGGAGAATTGCCTGAATCCAGTAGGTGGATGTTGCAGTGAGCCAAGATCATGCCATTGTACTCTAGTTTGGGTGACAGTGAGACTCTCTCAAAAAAAAAAAAATTAGCCAGGCGTGGTGGCATGTGCCTGTGATTCCAGCTATTAGGGAGGCTGAGGCAGGAGAATCACTTGAACCCAGGAGGTGGAGGTTGTAGTGAGCCGAGATTGTGCCACTGTACTCCAGCCTGGGCAACAGAGTGAAACTCTGCCTTAACAAAATGGAAACATCACTGTGTATCCCATAAATATGTACAATTCTTATTTACCAATTAAAAACATTTTAAAAAATATAATCCTTCTAACTTTGCAATCCTCCATGGGTTTAAAAAATATATATATATATAAAATCCATGTGGAATTTTGTCCGTGATTACATTTTCAAGTGATTTCTTTACCTGACACCTGTTTTAGCTGCAGAGATAGCAGAGTGCTTGAGTGACCCCTTCAGACCCAAGGTATTCTGACATGCAGGGCCGTAGGACTGGCATTGAGAGCGTCGGTGGTTGATGGGAGTAGAAGCCACAGAGAGTCTTCCTTGTGGAGGTACTGGAGTCATGACTCCTCCCTTATTGATGGGCTGCTGCTAAAGAGAAAATGCACCATTTTAAAAGCTTGGCCTCTGATTCAGTATTGTCTCCCTAGGCAAAGTTCAGAAGAGTGTTTCCATTTATCCCTGTGTTTACTCCCTCATTTGTAACTCCATTTGGAGTATTTTCCTTCCCTACCACTTCACCTCATCCTATTCTACCCATTTGGCTGGTTCCACAATTACTTGCCACTTATTGCTATGGGGAGTCTGCTGTGAAGAGCAATTTCCAGTTGTGGCTCAGTAATGAGTTAAGAGAAAGCCTTTCCCAGCTGCCATGTACCCAGGCATTCATTTATTTCCTTTCCTTCCCTCTTTCCCTTTTCCCTTCCCTTCCTTCTGTCTTTCCTTCTTTCTTTCTTTCTTCTTTGAGACAGAGAACTGGGCTGACTGCAACCGCCACCTCCCAGGTTCAAGCGATCCTCCTACCTCAGCCTCCTGAGTAGCTGGTATTACAGGCACCTGCTACCATGCCCAGCTAATTTTTGTATTTTTAGTAGAGACAGGGTTTTGCCATGTTGGCCAGGCTGGTCTCAAACTCCTGACCTCAAGTAATCTGCCTGCCTTGGCCTCCCAAAGTTCTTTGATTACAGGTGTGAACCACTGTGCCAAGGTATCCAGGCATTTTCTAACAAGAGACATAATGTAGCAAAACAGTTCCTTGTAGCCAAAAAGGGGAAAAAAGAGATTTTGAAAATATGGAACATTTGAGAACATTATATATAGTTTATTAAATATAAACTTAGGCTATGTGCAGTGGCTCACACTCTATAATCTCAGCACTTTGGGAGGCTGGGGCGGGAGGATCACTTAGCCCAGGAGTTCATGACCAGCCTGGGCAACATTAGGAGACCCTGTCTCTACAAAAACAAACAAACAAAATCAAACTTAAAGAAACTATTATATTTTTAACATGTTGAATCTACAATTAATTCCACCTCCTCCTTCTATCCCCAAACAAGAGCATTTTGAAGTCCTTTAAAACATAAAACTAAAGCAAAGAGGGAAGGAAATAAATGCTTGAAGGATTTCACTTAGGGTGTCTTTCTTAGATATTGTCAAGGCACAAAGAATAGTATCTTATTATCATTAGTCAAAGATCTGTTGCAAACAGAAGAAATGTTAACTATATTACCTGTCAACTGAGAAATGACAATTGAAATTAATATATACAAAAATAAAAATGTAGGTTAAGAACTAAATACAGGGACTAGAAATAAATATAATCTGGTGGGTCATGCCTGTTATCCCAGTAATTTTGTGAGGCAGAGGAGGGAGGACTGCTTGAGCCTCGGAGTTTGAGACCAGCCTGGACAACATAGCGAGACCTGTCTCTACAAAAAACTGAAAGGTAGCTGGGTGTAGTGGTGTATGACTATAGTCCCAGGTTCTAAGGAGGCTGAAGTGGGAGGATCACCTGAGCCCAGAGGGTTGAGACTGCAGTGAGCCATCACTGCACCATTGCACTACCACCTGGGTGACAGAGTGAGACTCTGTCTCAAAAAAAAAAAAAAAAAGAAGAAGAAAATGGCTGGGCATGGTGGCTTACATTTGTAATCCCAGCACTTTGGGAGGCTGAGGCAGGTGGATCACCTGAGGTCAGGAGTTAGAGATCAGCCTGAACAACATGGAGAAACCCTGTCTCTACTAAAAATACAAAATTAACATGGTGCAGTGGCGCATGCCTATAATCCCAGCTACTGGGGAGGCTGAGGCAGAAGAATCACATGAACACAAGAGGTGAAGGTTGTGGTGAGCCAAGACTGTGCCACTGTGCTCTAGCCTAGGCAACAAGAGCGAAACTCCATCTCAAAAAAAAAAAAACAAAAACAAAAACAAAACAAACAAAAAAAAACGAGACAGAGAGAACTTTCCTTCTTTCTTTTTGAGATGGAGAGTCACTCTGTTGCCAGGCTGGAGTAAAGTGGTGTGATCTTGGCTCACTGCAACCTCTGCCTCCTGGGTTCAAGCAATTATCCTGGCTCAGCCCAAGTAGCTGGGATTACAGGCGCCTACTACCATACCTGGCTAATTTCTATATTTTTAGTATAGATGGGGTTTTGTCATGTTGGCCAGGCTGGTCTTGAACTCCTGACCTCATGTGATCCACCCACCTCAGCCTTCCAAAGTGCTGGGATTACAGGCATGAGCCACTGTGCCCAGCCACACACACACACACACACACACGCGTGCGCGCACGTATGTGTGGCAATGCAACCTCTGCCTCCTGGGTTCAAGTGATTCTCCTGTCTCAGCTTCCCAAGTAGCTGGGATTACAGGTGCCCACCACCTTTTTTGAGACAGGGTCTCACTCTGTCACCCAGGCTGGAGTGCAGTGGCGTGATCTGGGCTTGCAGCAATCTTCTCTGCCTACCGGCTTCAAGTGTTTTTCCTGCCTCAACCTCCTGAGCAGCTGAAGGTAAGACCTTTCTAAGCTTTATAAAAAATTCATCCTTAAAAGGAAGACTTGGATAAATTTAACTACAATTAAAAACCTTCCACAAGGCAAGATACCATTAATATAGTTATAAGATAAACAATGGAAAAGTATAACAGGTAATATATACCATTAATATAAATAAATAAGAATGGGAAAACATTGAGAAAAAGTAAATCTGCATAAAAATAGCCAATTATAAAATATAAAGAGTTACAACAATATAAGGTACCTTGGGATACAGGTTTTCTGATCTTTATATAAACAAATAAATTACTTAAAATAAATAAATTCAATGAAGGTATGTATGTATTTCTTTGAGATGGGGTCATGCTGTGTTGCCCAGTCTGACTCATGGGCTCAAGCAATCCTCCCACCTCAGCCTCCCAAGAAGGTAGGATTATAGGCATGAGCCACCACACCCAGATAGGTTTCTGATTTTTTTAGAGGGCCACTTGACAACTAGATCAAACAAGTCTCCCTTTTCTTACCATGAAAGTCAAAGAGAAGCTGTCATGGCCAGAATGATTCTCTTTAGGATATCTGCTTATTGTTGTCCATCACCATCCAAATGATCAAGCCCCAAATGTGCCAAGAGCAACTTCATCTCAGGTATGGTGAAGTTAATGGAATTGATTTTTTATTCTCTAGTCTCCAAAGAAAGCATACCAAGTTACACATCTGATAGGGGAATTTCTTAAACATTTAGGTGGGACAGTGTTCTTTTAGAAATAAACTCATTCAGATAGGTCTACCAGGCAGGAGTTACACTAAAAAGTAGAAGAACTATTCGTTTATTCAACACATCTTCTAAGGCAACACTCAAAGTTGATGGTTCAAACAGTTGTTCTTGTTCTGTCCTTAACTTTTACTTAGAAAACTGAGTCACCCAAGGCCGGGTGCAGTGGCTCAAGCCTGTAATCCCAGCACTTTGGGAGGCCGAGGCGGGTGGATCACGAGGTCAAGAGATCGAGACCATCCAGGTCAACATGGTGAAACCCCGTCTGTACTAAAAATACAAAACATTAGCTGGGCATGGTGGCACGTGCCTGTAATCCTAGCTACTCAGGAGGCTGAGGCAGGAGAATTGCCTGAACCCGGGAGGCGGAGGTTGCAGTGAGCCGAGATGGCGCCATTGCACTCCAGCCTGGGTAACAAGAGCGAAACCCCGTCTCAAAACAAAACGAAACAAAAAAACCCAGAAAACTGAATCACCCATATTACAAAGTATAGAAAGCAGCAGCTTGACTTTTTTTTGTTTTTGGAACAGGGTCTCATTCTATCGCCAAGGCTGGAGTGCAACTGCATCATCCTGGCTCACTGCAGCCTCCGCCTCCCAGATTCAAGCAATTCCTCTGCCTCAGCCTCTCCAGTAGTTGGGATTACAGGCATGTGCCACCATGCCTGGAGAGTTTTTAATTTTTAGTAGAGACAGGGGTCTCACCATGTTGGCCAGGCTGGTCTCGAACTCCTGGCCTCAACTGATCTGCCTGATACAACCTCCCAAACTGCTGGATTACAGGCGTGCGCCACCATGCCCAGCAAATTTTTTTTTTAATTCTTTTTTTTTTTTTGAGAGAGAGTCTCACTCCATCACCAGGCACCAGCCTGGAGTGCAGTGACGCAATCTCAGCTCACTGCAACCTCCACCTCCCGGGTTCAAGCAATTCTCCTGCCTCAGCCCTCCGAGTAGCTGAGACTACAGGCGCGCACCACGATGCCCAGCTAATTTTTGTATTTTTAGTAGAGACAGGGTTTCAGCATGTTGACCAGGATGGTCTCAATCTCTTGATCTCATGATCCACCTGCCTTGGCCTCCCAAAGTGCTGGAATTGTAGGGGTGAGCCACCGAGCCCAGCCTTTTTTTTTTTTTTTTTTTTTTTTTTAAAGAGATGGGGTCTTATGGTGTTGCCGAGGTTGGTCTTGAACACTGGGGTTCAAGTGATCCTTTGGCTTCACCTTCCCAAAGTTCTGGATTGACAGGTGTGAGCCACTGTGTGAGGTTGAAAGCTTTTTAAATTTAATTTAATTAAAATTTTTTTTTTTTTGAGACTGAGTTTTACTCTTGTCCAGGCTGGAGTGCAATGGTGCAATCTTGGCTTACCACAACTTCCGCCTCCTGGGTTCAGGCAATTCTCCTGTCTCAGCCTATTGAGTAGCTGGGATTACAGGAATGTACCACCATGCCTGGCTAATTTTTTTTTTTTGAGACGGAGTTTCGCTCTTGTTACCCAGGCTGGAGTGCAATGGCATGATCTTGGCTCACTGCAACCTCTGCCTCCTGGGTTCAGGCAATTCTCCTGCCTCAGTCTCCTGAGTAGCTGGGATTACAGGCACGCGCCACCATACCCAGCTAATTTTTTGTATTTTTAGTAGAGACGGGGTTTTACCATGTTGACCACGTTGGTCTCGATCTCTTGACCTCGTGATCCACCTGCCTCGGCCTCCCAAAGTGCTGGGATTACAGGCTTGAGCCACCGCGCCCGGCCTAATTTTTATATTTTTAGTAGAGATGGGGTTTCACCATGTTGGCCAGGCTGGCCTCAAACTCCTGACCTTAGGTGATCCACCTCCCTTAGCCTCCCAAAGTACTGGGATTAAAGGTGTGAGCCACCACACCCTGCCTATTGTTTTTTTTTTTTTTTTTTTTTGAGATGGAGTATTGCTTTGTTCCCAGGCTGGAGTGCAGTGGCATGATCTCCCTGCACTACGACCTCCATCTCCTTGGTTTAAGCGATTCTCCTGTCTCAGCCTCTCAAGTAGCTAGGACTATAGGTGCCCAACACCACACCTGGTTAATTTTTGTATTTTTAGTAGAGACAGGGTTTCACCATGTTGGCGAATCCCTTAAACCCAAATGGTGGAGGTTGCAGTGAGCCAAGATTGCACCACTGTACTCCAACCTGGGTGACAGAGTAAGAATCCATCTCAAACAAAAAAAGAGATTGATAAGCAATGCTTTCAAATGTGGTAACAGTGAGGATGGGAGTGGTGGCTCATGCCTGTAATCTCAGCTACTCAATGGGCTGAGAAACTTTGGGAGGTCGAGGTAGGTGGATCACCTGCAGTCAGGAGTTTGAGACCAGCCTAGCCAACATGGTGAAACCCCGTCTATACTAAAAATATAAAAATTAGCTGGGCGTGACGCTATAATCTCAGCTACTTGGGAGAGTGAGATGGGCTTGATGGTAGTTGCCTGTTATCCCGGCTACTCAGGAGGCTGAGATGGGAGAATCGTTTGAATCTGGGAGGCGGAATTTGCAGTGAGCACAGATTGCCCCACTGCACTGCAGCCTGGGCAACAGAATTAGACTGTCTGAAATAAATAAATAAATAAAATTACAAATACAAATATTGGCCAAGTGTGGTGGTGGGCACCTGTAATACTAATTACTTTGGTGGCTGAGGCAAAAGAATCGCTTGAACTCAGGAGGTGGAGGTTGCAGTGAGCCAAGATCACACCACTGCACTTCAGCCTGGGTGAAAGAGTGAGACTCCATCTCAAAAAAAAAAAAACAAAATAAAAAACCTGATAAACAATGCCTTCAAATGTGGTAATGGTGAGGATGGGAGTGGTGGCTCATGCCTGTAATCCCAGCACTTTGGGAGGCCAAGGTGTAGTGGGCACAATCTCAACTCAGCTACTCTGGAGGCTGAGGCAGGAGAACTGCTTGAACCTGGGAAGCGGAGGTTGCAGTGAGCCGAAACTACACCACTGCCCTCCAGCCCGTGCAACAAGAGCAGGGGAAAAAAAAATTATGGCAATGTGAAACAAGTTATACATTGTTACAATGAATGTTTATTGTTTTAATTAAGCTTCTCACCTGGAAGCTTAAGTGTAGCAGGAGCAGTTGCTGGAAAGGATCTCTCGGACACCGGACACCGAATACAGAAGGAAAGAATTTATTTCAGCTGGGAGCCAGGTGGCATACATAGGTGCCTAACAGCCAAGCTTGTCTAACAAAGGGAGGTTCAGCCTTTATATAGGCTTATACTTTAGATGTTACACGTGGAAGAATCTTAGGTTCATAGTTTTAGGACTCACATGTGAAAAGGTTTTAGTTTAGTTTCAGGAATTACATATGAAAGGGTTCCGGTTTACAGTTTTAGGACTCACATGTGAAAAGGTTTCTGGTTTGATCTTGTTTTAAGTAAAAATAATGCCTTCTGGAGAGTTTCCCTAAGGCCTAGCCTGTTGTTTTCAGGAAGGAGATTGAGGAGGCCCTAGCTGGCCTGCTCTCTCTCTTCTATTGAGATGCACAGTGGATGACAGGTGGGGAGGGAATCTCATTTGCCTGGGTCTTCCTCCTCATCAGTACCTAAATTATTTACAACTTATCACCCAATGAGTTTTCCTTATTCCTAGTTGCCAGAAAACTTAAACTTACCTGAGTGACTGATGGTAATAAATACTGTACCTACTAATAGTGCTCATTTTCTGTACCTTTTAAATTGACCATACTATTTTATATTTAATACCATAAACTTAAATTACTTTGAGAACAGGCCTTAAATTCTTTTTGAGAAATGGGGAAGCTATGTAAAATAAACACATGGGTTAATAATTAAATACAGGGAAGAGAAATAAATATAATCTGGTGGCTCACATCTGTAATCCCAGCACTTTGGGAGGCCGAGGTGGGAGGATCACTTGTGCCTACGTGTTCAAGGACAGCCTAGGCATCATAGGGAGACCCGTCTTTGAGAAAAATACGTAAATCAGTAAATTTGTAAAAACGTGTTACTTGTCCTCCATTCAGCACTCCCTTAACACCAGATACCAATAACATCAACTTGCTAGAATGTCACTACCACATTTGAAATGTCTGCTAACTCGGCCTCAGAGTTGATTTTATCACCTTCTCTTACTCAAGAGGGCCTTGAGTTCTGTAAGACCTGGACTGGAAGCCCTCAAGGGTGGTGTTACCACAGGAATCCTTTAGGTTTACCACTATTAATCACCCATTTTCCTTTCCATAAGGGACAAGAGAAAGAAGATGGCTTCAGTCATAAGTTGGTTCACCCTCAATGAAAGTAATAGGCAGAACATCTAAATATGGAAAGCAGAATGACACTGCAATTTGGGAAATAGTTCCTCAGTCAGGATTCACTGTTTTTTGTTTTGTTTGCTTTTTTGACACAGTCTCACTCTGTCACTCAGGCTGGAGTGCAATGGTGACATCTTGGCTTACTGCGACCTCCACCTCCCCAGTTCAAGCAATTCTTCTGCCTCAGCCTCCCAAGTAGCTGGGATTACAGGTGTCCACCACTACCCTTAGCTGATTTTTTTTGTATTTTTAGTAGAGACAGGGTTTTACCATGTTGGCCAGGCTGGTCTTGAACTCCTGACTTCAGGTGATCAACCCACCTTGACATCCCCAAGTGCTGGGATTATAGGCATGAGCTACTGTATCCAGCCATGGATTCCCTGTTTTATCTGGAGGATTTTGAAAATTATCAGGGTATGGGAAAGCAAGTTTTAGATAAAGATGTATTAAACTCAAACAAATCTACTGGTAGAGTCACAGCCAGTTGTAACCATGGTGTTATAGTTTCAGAATTAAAATCAGTTTAGTTCCATTAAGAACATAATTTTGGCCGGGCACGGTGGCTCAAGCCTGTAATCCCAGCACTTTGGGAGGCTGAGGCGGGTGGATCACGAGGTCAAGAGATCGAGACCATCCTGGTCAAATGGTGAAACCCTGTCTCTACTAAAAATACAAAAAAATTAGCTGGGCATGGTGGCACATGCCTGTAATCCCAGCTACTCAGGAGGCTGAGGCAGGAGAATCGCCTGAACCCAGGAGGCGGAGGTTGCGGTGAGCCCAGATCACACCATTGCACTCCAGCCTGGGTAACAAGAGTGAAACTCCGTCTCAAAAAAAAAAAAAAAAAAAAAAAAAAGGAACATAATTTTATCTACATACCTTTAGTTTACTGATGGAATTGTATTCTTCAAAATGTTTCTTTTTCCTCTTAATATATTGCTCAATGGACTCCATTTCCTTAAAATGAGCTTCATGAAGCTTCTTAAAGTCTAGAATGTTCCCCAATATAAAAATTAATAACTAAACAAAATCCATTTCTATATCTTTTCTGTTTTTCTGTTAATACTTATTTTCTTCTTTGCAGCCCGGACATTCAACTTCAATATAATATGTGCTAAAACATTAATTTCAAAATACTTTGTTTGTGGAAACTCAGTGGCAAAGCACATTCATCTTGTAAATTATCAACCATTCACATCTCTGCATTGTCTAATTTCACTAAATTGACATCTTGGTTTAGTTCAAAGGATGAGAGTAGATTTATCTCCTCTGGGCTGAGACTCTGACGTAAAAAGAGAAAAAAAGATTTATCTTCTCTTCCACCAATTAGTTGAGTGTTATTTAATCATGAATTTGGTAATTTATAACGCTCTATGTCAAGGACTGACAAATAAAGTGCAAGATAAATTATTTTAGGGCCGAGCATGGTGGCTTACGCCTATAATCCCAGCACTCTGGGAAGCTGAGGCGGGTGGATCACGAGGTCAGGAGTTCCAGACCAGCCTGGCCAATACAGTGAAACCATCTCTACTAAAAATACAAAAATTAGCGGGCTGTGGTGGCGGGCACCTGTAATCCCAGCTACTTGGAAGGCTGAGGCAGAAAATTGCTTGAACCCAGAAAGTGGAAGTTGCAAGTGAACCAAAATTGCACCACTATACTCAGGAAACTGAGGCATGAGAATCGCTTGAACGAGGGAGGTGGAGGTTGCAATGAACCGAGATTGCACCACTGCACTCCAGCCTGTGTGACAGAGTGAGACTCTGTCTCAAAAAAAAAAAAGTATTTTATGGTGGTATGGCCTCTGTTTCATATACTTCTTGTTTTTAAATTCTTTTTTTTTTTTTCTTTTAGCGCTACGATCTCAGCTCACTGCAAATGCCATTTCCTGGGTTCAAATGCTTCTCCTGCCTCCTGAGTAGCTGAGATTACAGGTGCCTGCCACGACACTCAGCTAACTTTCATATTTTTAGTAGAGATGGGGTTTCACCATGTTGGTCAGGCTGGTCTCAAACTCCTAACCTGTAGTGATCCACCCACCTTGGCCTCTCAAAGTGCTGGGATGACAGACCTGAGCTACCACTCCTGGCCTTTAAATTCCTTAAAAAATTTAAGAGCCGGCCAGGCGCGGTGGCTCACGCCTGTCATCCCAGCACTTTGGGAGGCTGAGGCGGGTGGATCACAAGGTCAAGAGATCGAGACAGGCTGGGCGCAGTAGCTCAAGCCTGTAATCCCAGCACTTTGGGAGGTCGAGGCAGGTGGATCATGGTGTCAAGAGATGGAGACCATCCTGGTCAACATGGTGAAACCCCATCTCTACTAAAAATACAAAAAAATTAGCTGGGCATGGTGGCACGTGCCTGTAATCCCAGCTACTCAGGAGGCTGAGGCAGGAGAATTGCCTAAACCCAGGAGGCAGAGGTTGCGGTGAACCAAGATCGCGCCATTACACTCCAGCCTGGTTAACAGGAGCAAAACTCCACCTCCAAAAAAAAAAAGAGTTCCAGACCATCCTGGTCAACATGGTGAAACCCCGTCTCTACTAAAAATACAAAACATTAGCTGGGCATGGTGGCGCGTGGCTGTAATCCCAGCTACTCAGGAGGCTGAGGCAGGAGAATTGCCTGAACCCAGGAGGCGGAGGTTGCGGTGAGCCGAGATCGCGCCATTGCACTCCAGCCTGGGTAACAAGAGTGAAATTCCGTCTCAAAAAATAAAAAAATTTAAGAGCCATTCTTAGCTCAAAGGATCTAAGACAGGCCAAAACAGGCAGCAGTTTGCTGAACACTGCTATATCCTATTCTGATTAAGTATATGAACACTTACCAAATTTTTAATATATAATGAACAGCATTCTAACTACTATAAATATACAATACTCAATCGACATTCTATGTGCCAAGCAATGTTTCAACAATACAAGATAGAGAAGAAGAATTACATGTCCAAAAACAGAGTCCCTCAGACTTATGAAAAACTTACTAGAAGGTGAGGATTGTACCAAGTACTTTGTGCATTCATTCATCAGATATTTATTGAATCCCTGCTGCATGCTATTTGCTGTGATAGAGAAGCAGCAGTCGAAAATGTATTCTCACTTTATGTATCTATCAATCTGATAAAACAGGTACTATAGTATAACTATTTCCACTTAACACCGAGGTAGCGGGTTTATTGAGGATAAGTAAGTTCCCCAAGATCTCCAAGCTAAAAAACGAGAAAACTAGAATATAAACTGCTTCTAGCATCTGTGCTTTTAGCTATTTTAGTCCAACATCAATCTGAAGTGGCTCAACCATTACTTATTATGTCTTTGTCTACAAAACTTACTTGGAGTAGTTGTTGCAGTTCTTTTATTTTTTCCAGGTTTGGATAACTCATCTGTGTAGATTTCTTTCTTTCTTTCTAAAGGTATCTTTGAATCTTTGTTACCTAAATCCAAAGATACAGAAATAATGAAGAATTTCAAAAAAGTTCTCATTAAGAAATATGTGTAAGTTGGCTGGGCACAGTGGCTCAAACCTGTAATCCCAGCACTTTGGGAGGCCAAAGAAGACAGATCACCTGAAGTTGGGAGTTCAAGACCACCCCAACCAACGTGGAGAAACCTCGTTCTCTACTAAAAATACAAAATTAGCTGGGTGTGATGGTGCATGCCTGTAATCCCAGCTACTCCAGAGGCTGAGGCAGGAGAATCATTTGAACCCAGGAGCTGGAGGTTGCAGTGAGCCGTGATCACGCCATTGCACAAGAGCGACATTCTATCTCCAAAAAGAATTACGTGTAAATTAACACAGCATTTTCACATGGTAGGCTCTACCAAGACGGTGGTAGAAACAGTACAAAAGGAGCACAAAGAATTAGGTACAGCATTCCTACAATTACAAGTCATATGCTTCAAGTAGACATTCAGATATTTTCTGTCGCCTCTGGAGAAGTTATATAAACATAACAAAGCTGGCCAGGTGCTGTAGCTCACGCCTGTAATCCCAGTACTTTGGGAGGCTGAGGTGGGTGGATGGTTTGAGACCAGCCTGGGCAACACAGCGAGACACTATCTCTCTTTTTAAAATATTATTTAATATAAATTAAATTTAAACAAATATATATATATTAGTTAAAAAATAAACTTTTCAGTTTTTATATGAACATAATATTACAACCAAAGTGATAAAAATCACATAATCTGTGGGGAACACTCCCGTGTGAGACCCCTAAAAGGCGTGAGTCTCACTATACGGTGAGTTTGATCTCAAACACAGTTTCCTACTGGAGGCAGTCGAGCTATCCGGAAATATAGGAACTGAAAGATGAATGATCAGTTTCTAATATCAACCACAATATCGTTTGGGCCTAAAACTATGCGTTGCTGCTAGACTGAGTGACCCCCTACCGGCAACCAGTTCCTGCTTTTAACCTTTTTATGACTTTAAGAATAATCCTTAAACCTTACTTACCAGACTGCCTTGTACCCTAGATAATGGTTCAACTGTCGATATTTGCAAAGCCAATACCACCATAAGGGATGGCTTTGATTTCTGACTCAGAGATTCCTGAATGGGGAAGTTGAGTTGAGTTAGGAGTAGACAAAGAAGAATCCGGTTAAAAGATATTCTGATAAGCAAAACCAGAAAACCTTTTCACATCTCAGTTCTAAAACAAGATCAAACCAGAGATACCTGCAGCCAGGAGGAATAATGTCTGGATGTAAACAAGCTTTGTGATCACAGGAAATTCTGTTACTTTTTACAACCACTGATTGTGCATCTGACTTTTCAATTGTATAGGCCATGTAAGGTATACATTTACATTTCGTCTTGCAACCATTGTGTATTTGACTTCTCTATTGTATAGGCCATGTGAGGCATACATTTACATTCCTCTTACTATGACGTAAACCAGAGCCAAGAAAGTGTATTTATTCCTGGCCTTTGAAAAATAAAATTTGCTGTTTAGGCACAGCCTATCAGCCCTCCAGATGCCTCGCTTCCTCTCTCTCTGTCTTTATTATTTTCCCAGGCGCACTCCCTCTTCCAGGTATTGGGACCCTCTTGCAAGTCGAAAGACCCCCGGGCAGACGTGCCTACCCGTCCGGACGGTCCACGACAATAATCCAAGCAGCCAAAGAAACACCATTAACATTTTGCATATTTCCTCTGTTCCTTTGGTTCTTATTCACATTTGGTTGTGGTTGGTTGGTTTATTGTTTTGAGACAGAATTTCGCTCTGTTGCCCAGGCAGGAATGCAGTAGCGTGATCTTGGCTCACTGCAACTTCTGCCTCTTGGATTCAAGAGATTCTCCTGCCTTAGCCTCCTGAGTAGTTGGGATTACAGGCGTGAGCCACCGCATCCAGCTAATTTTTGTATTTTTATTAGAGATGGGATTTTGTCACGTTAACTAGGCTGGTCTCGAACTCCTGACCTCAAGTAATCCACCCACCTCAGCCTCCCAAAGTGTTGGGATTGCAAACATGAGCCACTGCATCCAGCTTCTTAGCTTTTGTTAATAGACAAGGTCTCACTATGGCCTTGAACTTCTGGGTTACTTCTGCCTCAGTCTCCTGAAAAGCTGAGACCACAGGCATGTGCCACTGTAGCCAGCTTATTTTTTTTTTTCAATACAGTTGAAATTATGTTATACATTAGGTTTGGTATTTTTTCCCATTTATATAATGATTTTCCACATTCTGTCATTTATTTTTTGACCTTAATGGAATTTATCAGGGAAGGAAGGAAAAGAACCATCACAGGCAGACGGAATAATAGTGATATATAAAGATGTACTACAGTGAAAATAATGACATTCAGAGAGAGACTGAGGTAGGCTGAAATTGCCGAAGTATAGAGTGCATAAGAAGGAGTGGATGACATTTAGGACAGGTAATAGGTTAAACCATAAAGTGCCCCGTATAATATGCTATAGAGTTGAGTCTAATCTACAAATAGAAGAAAGCCTCGATCTTACATTTTTTTCAATTTGAGACAATCTATTTTAAAAATACACTATAGTTTTCATCTCAATTATTTTTTTCTTTTCTTTCATCCACTGGTTTACAAGCAAGTGGGTTTCCAAGAAATACCATTTCTAAAGTTGTTGTCATCCTTATGATTCCCAAATGTATTCATAAAACAAGGCCAAAGAATGTTCTGTCAGAGTTGGTATGGCTGCAGGGGCTTCTGCTTAGACATTGGCTCTAAAACCAGAAAGTGAAAGTTTCATAAGAAACAGGGTATTTGGCAGGGCTTGGTGGCTCACACCTGTAATCCTTGTACTTCAGGAGGCCAAAGTGGGTGGATCACCTGAGGTCAGGAGTTGGAGACCAGCCTGGCCAACATGGTGAAACCTTGTCTCTACTGAAAATACAAAAATTAGCCAGGCATGGCAGTGCACACCTGTAATCCCAGCTACTAGGGAAGCTGAGGCAGTAGACTTACTTGAGCCTGGGAGAAGAAGGTTGCAGTGAGCTGACATAGTGCCACTACACTCCCACCTGGGTGACAGACTGAGACTCAAAAGAAAAAAAACAAACAAAGGATATTTATGTGAGGTAACTCTGCACGGGGTACTTATTCATTACAAGTGGTAAAACAGTAACTTCACAAAGTTACTAGCAGATACCACCATAAACAACTGGTGGAAGTTAACATTACTAGTCATAGGAAAAACCAGCACTTGTGCCTCCTAGGGTGCTTACAGAGGAAGCAACAGCACTGCTCTGTGGGATTCCTGCCAACAACCCATAGTCCGAATCTAAACATGAAGACATATTAGACAAACCAAGTCAGAGGAGAAAAAACTAGCCTCTATTAAAAAATGTTGGCCAGGCATGGTGGCTCATACGTGTAAACCCAGCATTTTCGGAGGCTGAAGTAGGGAGCTCAGGAGTTTGAGACCAGCCTGGGCAGCATGGTGAAACCCTGGCTCTACTAAAAATACAAAAATTAGCCGGGCATGGTGGTGCATGCCTTTAGTTCCAGCTACTTGGGAGGCTGAGGCTGCAGTGAACTGAGATTGTGCCACTGCACTCCAGCCTGGGTAACAGAGCAAGATTCTGTCTCAAATAATAATAATAATAATAATAATAATAATAATAATAATAATTGGGTCTTTCTTTTCAGAAGCCCCTCTCTTTCACTAGAGAGAGCTATTCTCTTTTCTCTTTCTTTTGCCTACTAAACCTCTGGCATGATCTCGGCTCACTGTAACCTACATCTCCCGGATTCAAGCAATTCTCCCACCTTAGACTCCTGAGTAGCTGGGATTACAGGTGTGTGCCTCAGTGCCCGGCTAATTTTTGTATTTTTAGTAGGAAGTGTTACACAGCTGGGTGCTGTGGCTCACGCTTGTAATCCCAGCACTTTGGGAGGCTGAGGTGGGCGGATCAGGAGGCTGAGGTCAGGAGTTCAAGACCAGTCTGGCCAACATAGTGAAACCTCGTCTCTAGTAAAAATAAAAAATTAGCTGAGTGTGCTGGCATGTGCCTGTAGTCCCAGCTACTCAGGAGGCTGAGGCAGGAGAATCGCTTGAACCTGGGAGGTGGAGGTTGCAGTGAGCTGAGATTGTACCACTGCACTTGAGCCTGGGCGATGGGTCGCAGAGTGAGACTCCAACTCAAAAAATAAAATAAAACAACAGGGTTTTGCCACGTTGGCCAGGCTGGTCTCGAACTCTTGGCCTTAAGTGATCCATCCCCCTAGGCTTCCCAAAGTGCTAGGATTACAGGTGTGAGCCACCGAGCCCAGGCCAACACTTAGAAATTCTATAATGGGCCAGGCATGGTGGCTTATACCTATAATCCCAGCACTTTGGGAAGGTGAGGCAAGTAGATTATCTGAGATCAGGAGTTTGAGACCAGCCTGGTCAACATGGTGAAACCCCCACCTCTACCAAAAATACAAAAATTAGCCAGGCATAATGGCATGCGCCTATAATCCCAGCTACTCAGGAGGCTGAGGCAGGAGAATCCCTTGAACTAGGGAGGCGGAGGTTGCAGTGAGCCAAGATCACTGCATTGCACTCCAGCCTGGGCAACAAAGCAAGACTCCACCTCAAAAAAAAAAGTAAAGCAATTGTGTAACATAGTGCTATGGGTTGAATTGTGGGCCCCTAAAATATATACTGAAGTCCTAACAACTAATCCCTGTCATATGACCTTATTTAGATATAGGCATTTTTTTCCAGATGCAATAAAGATGAAGTCATTTGGACCTTCTTTTAATTTTTTGAGATACAGTCTCGCTGTGTCCATGAAGGGATAAAGTAGTATGAACATAGCTAATGGCATCCTTAACCTCCTGGGTTCAAGTGACCGTCTCACCTCAGCCTCCTGAGAAGCTGGGACCACGGGTGTGCACCATCATGGCTGGCTAATTCTTTTCTTTGTAGACACAGGTTCTTGCCATGTTACCCAGGCTGGTCCAGAACTCCTAGGCACAAGCAATCCTCCTACCTTGACTTCCTAAAGTAATGGGGGTACAGGCATGAGCCACTATGCCTGACATATTTGGGTGGATCCTAATACAATATAACTGGTGTCCTATTAAGAAGACATAGAGAATGTCATGCACTGTCAGAGCCAGAGACTGGCATGATACAGCTGCAACCTATTCTCCCACCTCAGTAATTCTCCCACCTGGGCCTCCTGAGTAACTAGGATTAAAGGTGCGTGCGCCAGTGCCTTTTTGTATTTTTAGTAGAAACAGAGTTTCATGGCCAGGTGTGGACACCAGCCATGGCAAAGTAGTCAGAGGCAAGGAAGGATTCCACCCAGAGTCCTAGAGAAGCATGGTCTTGCTGACACATTGATCGTGGACTTCCACCCTCTAGAACCATGAAAGAGTAAATTTCTGTTCTTCTAAGCCGCCCAGTTTGTGGTACCTCACAACAGTACTAAGAAATTAATGTACATGGCTACTTCTAGCAATTCTGGGGTTTTTTTTAAGATGGAGTCTCACTGTCACCCAGGCTGAAGTGCAGTGGTGCAATCTCGGCTCACTGCAACCTCCACCTTCCGAGTTCAAGCGATTCTCCTGCCTCAGCCTCCCGGGTAGCTGGGACTACATGCTACCACACCTTGCTCATTTTTATTTTTAGTAGACATGAGGTTTCACCATGTTGGCCAGGCTGGTCTTGAACTCCTGACTTCACGTGATCTGCTTGCCTCAGCCTCTCAAAGTGCTGGGATTACAGGTATGAGCCACTGTGCCTGGCTGCAATTCTGGTTTTTAAGAAGTTACCCGACATACCATTTATTCCACGTTTTCCTGAGGAAACAGCATTCTTAGCTCCTTGGTGCTCATCTGGAGAATAAACTTCCGCAGTAGCTCTGAAATCCTGGCTTTCCTGCTTTTCATGATTCTGGAATTCAGTAGGATCACTTATTTTTATCTCCGAATGATCCTGCTACAAATTTAAAAAAGGAAATAAAAGATTTCGATGATAAATAAGAATTGCTGCCTTCTAAAGATAAGTACCAATATGAGGAGGAAAAGGGGTCAAAGGAAGAAAAGTAGGAGAATGAGATTTTTGGTGGCAGATTTGGTTCTCTGCATTATTAAGTGTCATGAGAATATACATTTGAGAATAAGAGATACTAGGGCACATTAACCGGTAAAATAGAAATGGCAAGATTAGCTCTCTTAGCAAGGACAAATGAAGAAACCTAGATAGTCTACTGAGCAAATAACTATATGAAGATAGAAAAGAAAATTAATTCAGTGTTTTGGGGCCGGGCATGGTGGCTCACACCCGTAATCCCAGAACTTTAGGCGCTTGAGATGTGTGGATCACCTGAGGTCAGGAGTTTGAGACCAGCCTGGGCAACATGGTGAAATCGCATCTTTACTGAAAATACAAAAATTAGCTTGGCATAGTCGTGGGCACCTGTATTCCCAGCTACTCGGGAGGCAGAGGCAAGGCAGGAGAATTGCTTGAACCCGGGAGGCAGAAGTTGCAGTGAGCTGAGATCATGCCTTTGCACTCCATACTGGACAATGAGAGTGAAACTCCACCTCAGAAAACAAACAAACCAAAAAGGCTGGGCATGGTGGCTCACACCATGTAATCCCAACACTTTGGGAGGCTGAGGAGGGCGGATTACTTGAGGTCAGGAGTTCAAGACCAGCCTGACCAACATGGTGAAATTCCATGTCTACTGAAAATGCAAAAACTAGCTGGGTGTGGTGGCCGGCATCCTGTAATCCCAGCTACTCAGGAGGCTAAGGTAGGAGAATTGCTTGAACCTAGGAAACTGAGGTTGCAGTGAGCAGAGATTTAGCCACTGCCCTCCAGTCTGGCACCCGGCGCCGGAGCAAGACTCTGTCTCAAACAAAAAAACCCAAAAAAGCACATTTAATGCTTGTTTCTCTTTTCTTCCTATCTACTACACTTAAGTAAACATTTAATGAATGTTCATAGTTATACAACAAATATTTAATGTGAACTTAATACTTAAAAGTGCTTCCTAGGCCGGGTGCGGTGGCTCATGCCTGTAATCCCAGCACTTTGGGAGGCTGAGGCGGGTGGATCATGAGGTCAAGAGATTGAGACCATCCTAGTCAACATGGTGAAACCCTGAAAAATACAAAAAATCAGCTGGGCATGGTGGTGCGTGCCTGTAATCCCAGCTACTCAGGAGGCTGAGGCAGAATTGCCTGAACCCAGGAGGCGGAGGTTGCGGTGAGCCGAGATCGCAGCATTGCACTCCAGCCTGGGTAACAAAAGCGAAACTCCGTCTCAAAAAAAAAAAAAAAAAAAAAAGTGCTTCCTGAGGGAAGAGCCCTGAGATGCAGTAATGAGCAGCTAGACTTGGGTCTGTTTTTTTGTTTTTTTGTTTTGATTTTCTTCGGGTCTGGGTTTTCTTTTCTTTTTTTTTTTTTTTTGAGACGGAGTTTCGCTCCTTACCCAGGCTGGAGTGCAATGGCGCGATCTCGGCTCACCGCAACCTCCGCCTCCTGGGTTCAGGCAATTCTCCTGCCTCAGCCTGCTGAGTAGCTGGGATTACAGGCACGCGCCACCATGCCCAGCTAATTTTTTGTATTTTTAGTAGAGACGGGGTTTCACCATGTTGACCAGGATGGTCTCGATCTCTTGACCTCGTGATCCACCCACCTCAGCCTCCCAAAGTGCTGGGATTACAGGCTTGAGCCACTGCACCCGGCGGGTCTGGATTTTCATGGAGCTTACAGTACACAGTAAGCTTACAAACACGTGACATCACATGGGAATTTAAAAAGAAAGCTTCTTAAGTATATGCCAATTTTGGCATAGGTGGTGGTATATCTTCAGTTTGTAAATATCCATTCACCTGGGAGTCAGGGTCCACACGGACAGTCTTGTGCCTTCTCCTTGTTTTGGTGACATGGCCAGTTGGCTGTCTCTCGGCTTGTTCCTGGCTGCTGATCTGTATCTCAGTCTCATGACAAGAGGATGCTGAAGTTTGACTTTCATCCTGAAAAGAGAGGTATTAATCCGCTATGTGCTATGTATATAGTTATAATGCTCAGAAAGAATCAGCATTTAGACCGAATAAAAAACATACTACAGATACAAAAGAAAAATTTTAAAACTCTCTAACACTAAATTGTTGGCAAAGACAAGAATTATAGAGTATTTAGGCCAGGCACGGTGGCTCACACCTGTTAACCCAGCACTTTGGGAGACCATGTCAAGTGGATCACCTAAGGTCAGGAGTTTTTTGACGGCTGGAAAACTTTGTCCATTCTCATTCTTTCACACCAAAATGAAATCTGGAGGGATCACTTTATTTTGTTATATTTTTTGGAGACAGGGTCTTATTCTGTCACACAGGCTGGAGTGCAGTGTCACAATCAGGGCTCATTGGAGTCTGGACCTTCTGGGCTCAGGCAATCCTCCCACTTCAGCTGCTTGAGTAGCTGGAACTATAGGTGTGTACCACGCCTGGCTAATATTTTGTTTTTTTTTTCGTAGAGGATGGGGTTTTGCCATGTTGCCTGGGGTCATCTAGAACTCCTGGGCTGAAGGGATGTGCCCACCTCAGCCTCCTGAAGTGCTGGAATCACAGGCATAAACCACTGTGCATGGCCATGAAATTAAAGATTTAAATGCAAAAGTTGAACTATAAAAGCACTAGAAAACAAATAGATGTATATATTATCATGAATGTGAGGACGTCCTTTTTTTATATATTTAATTTATTTATTCTTGCTCTGTCGCCCAAACTGGAGTGCTGTGGCCTAATCTCAGCTCACTGCAACCTCTGTCTCCTGGGTTCAAGAGATTCTCCTGCCTCAGCATCCCAAGTAGCTGGGATTACAGGCATGTGCCACCACGTCTGGCTAATTTTTTGCAATTTATTTTTGAATAATTTTTTTGAAACAGACGGGGTTTCACTGTGTTAGCCAGGCTGGTCTTGATTTCCTGACCTCATGATCCCCCCATATTAGCCTCCTGAAGTGCTGGGATTACTGGTGTGAGCCAGAGTGCCCAGCTGAGGAAGTCCTTCTTAAGCATGTTATCTTACCTGGAAACTATAAAGGAAAACCTTGATTTGGTTTTGGCATTTATGCATTTTGTTATAAGTAAATGCTAATTAAAAAAGATAAACTGCCGGGCGCGGTGGCTCAAGCCTGTAATCCCAGCACTTTGGGAGGCCAAGGCGGGTGGATCACGAGGTCAAGAGATCGAGACTGTCCTGGTCAATATGGTGAAACCCCGTCTCTACTAAAAATACAAAAAAAAGTAGCTGGGCATGGTGGCACATGCCTGTAACCTGAGCTACTTAGGAGGCTGAGGCAGGAGAATTGCCTGAACCCAGGAGGCAGAGGTTGCGGTGAGCCGAGATCGCGCCATTGCACTCCAGCCTGGGTAACAAGAGCGAAACTCCGTCTCAAAAAAAAAAAAAAAAAGATAAACCAATACATACATATCGCTGAAAAAAAAATCAAATACCATAGAAAAGATTGTAATGAAAGCAACTGGGGCCTGGTGTGGTGGCTCAACTATAATCCCAGCACCTTGCGAGGCAGATGGGAAGGATTACTTGTGGTCAGGACCTGAAGAGTGGCCTGGCACACATGGTGAAACCCTGTCTCTGCTAAAAATACAAAAAATTAGTTGGGCATGGTGGCACATGTATGTAATCCCAACTACTCGGGAGGCAGAGGTTGTAGTGAGCCCAGATCGCACCACTGCACTCGAGCATGGGTGACAAAGTGAGACTGTGTCTCAAAACAAAAAAAGAAAAAAGAAAAGCAATTGGTTCTCTGCCCAACCTCGTTATTCATGAGGCTTAAGTTCAGGTTGTTATTTATATATCTCTAGTGATTTGCTGACAGGATGGGATATTCATTCATATTTTCCTATTTTTAGTGCTTATTACATGCTAACGTTTAGCTTATTTGTACTCTCATCTTCCTAAGAGAATTACACCACTTTTGTCACTCTATTACTTTTACTGTTTTTTTCTTTTGAGACAGTTTTGCTCTTGCCACCCAGGCTGGAGTGCACTAGGGTGATCTTGGCTCACTGCAACTTCCACCTCCTGGGTTCAAGCAGTTCTCCCGCCGCAGCTAGCTGGGACTATAAGTGCATGCCACCACACCCAGCTAATTTTTATATTTTTTTGTTTTTGTGTTTTGGATGAAGTTTGGCTCTGTCACTCAGGCTGGATGGAGTTCAGTGGCGTGATGTCAGCTCTCTGCAACCTCCGCCTCCCGAGTTTCAAGCAATTCTCCCACCTCAGCCTCCCAAGTAGCTGGGATTACAGGTGCATGCCACTATGCCTGGAAGATTTTTTTAGTTTTTTGTAGAGACAGAGTTTTGCCATGTTGGCCAAGCTGGTCTCAAACTCCTGACCTCAGGTGATCCACCCGCCTTGGCCTCCCAAAGCACTGGGATTACAGGCGTGAATTACCACGCCAGGCCAATTTTTAAATTTTTAATAGCGACAGGGTTCCACCATGTTGGCCAGGGTATTCTTGAATTCCTCTGCCCGTCTCGGCCTCCCAAAGTGCTGGGATTATAGGTGTAAGCCACTGCACCCGGCTTTAGTTACTCCTATATATACATTTGAATCTTGTTGCAAAACTAGAGGCAATATAGCCTCTAAGCTACCCATATTGGCACCTTTGTATGTCACTATACCTCTTGTTGTTCCTTTCACTTCTCAAGTTCTGTCATCTATTTATTATTGGTATCAAAACTGATAACATTTATAGTCTGTTTTATAATCTTATTTTTTCTGTCTCTTTTTGTTTTGTTTTTTTAATAAAGACGGGGTTTCACCATGTTGGTCAGGCTGGTCTTCAACTCCCGACCTCAGGTGATCCACCCGCCTTGGCCTCCAAAGTGCTTGGCTTACGGGCGTGAGCCACCATGCCTGGCCCTCTTTTTGTTTTTGTTTTTTTTGAGATAGAGTTTCGCTCTTGTTACCCAGGCTGGAGTGCAATGGCGCGATCTTGGCTCACTGCAACCTCCACCTCCTGTGTTCAGGCAATTCTCCTGCTTCAGCCTCCTGAGTAGCTGGGATTACAGGCACGTGCCACCACGCCCAGCTAATTTTTTTCGTATTTTTAGTAGAGACAGGGTTTCACCATGTTGACTAGGATGGTCTGGATCTCTTGACCTCGTGATCCACACGCCTCGGCCTCCTAAAGTGCTGGAATTACAGGCTTGAGCCACCGCGCCCAGCCTGTTTTTTTTTTTTTTTTTTTAAGACAGGGTGTCACTCTCATTGCCCAGGATGGAGTACAGTGGCATGATCTTGGCTCACTGCAGCCATGACTTCCCAGGCTCAAGTGATCCTCCCACCTTAGCCTCCCCAGTAGCTGAGCTGGGACTACATGGGCACTCCACCACACCCAGCTAATTTTTATATTTTTTGTTAAGACAGAGTTTTGCTATGTAGTCCAGGCTGGTCTCTAACTTCTGGGCTTAAGCAATCTGCCTGTCTCAGCCTCCCAAAGTGTTGAGATTTCAGGTGTTAGCCACCATGCCTGGCTTTGTTATATAACCTTAATTGTATCATCTATGCTTAGTCTACCTAGCTTTATCTTAAGAGTTGATAAATCAGTAAGTCATTGTAATACTTTTTAAAAAACAAGCTGGGCCAGGTGTGGTGGCTCACACCTGTAATCCCAGCACTTTGGGAGGCCAAGGCAGGCAGATTACGAAGTCAAGAGATTGAGACCATCCTGGCTAACACAATGAAACCTCATCTCTACTAAAAATACAAAAAATTAGCTGGGCATGGTGGCATGCACCTGTAGTCCCAGCTACTCAGGAGACTGAGGCAGGAGAATTACTTCAACCCGGGGGTTGCAGTGAGCTGAGATCATGCCACTGCACTCCAGCCTGGGCAACAAGAGCAAACTCTGCCTCAAAAAAAAAATAAATAAATAAACCACAATAAAAGTAACTAATACAGCGACTAAAGTGGTATAATTATCTTACAAAGATGATAGTAAGATGAGACTCCATCTTAGGAAAAGAAAAAAAAAAAAAAAAAAGCTGTTGGCCAGATGCAGTGGCTTATACCTGTAATCCCAGCACTTTCAGAGGCCAAGGTGTTGGCTAGGAACTCGAGACCAGCCTGGCCAATATGGAGAAACTCTGTCTCTACTAAAAATACAAAAAAATTAGCTGGGCATCGCAGTGCATGCCTGTAATCCCAGCTACTTGGGAGACTGAGGCAGGAGAATCGCTTGACCCGGGAGGCAGAGGTTGCAGTGACCTGAGATCATGCCGTTGCACTCCAGCCTGGGCAACAAGAGAGAAACTCCGTCTTTAAGAAAAAAAAAAAAATCAATACAAAGGTAAAATGTTCTAAAGGAGGAATAATTGCATTTTTGCTAAGAAAGTAAGCCCAGGAGGGTGAGGCATGAGAATCATTTGAACCTGGGAGGCAGACGTTGCAGTCAGCTGAGATCATGCCACTGCACTCCAGCCTAGATAACAGAGTGAGACTCTGTCTCAAAAAAATAAAATATAACAGCAAGCTGTCAGTTATTTTTTGTATTATCTTCATTTCCCTTAGGGTCATCTTTTCATTTCCTTCTTTTTTAGAGACAGTATCTTGCTCTGTTGCCCAGCTGGATTACAGTGGCTTGCTCATAGTTCATTGCGGCCTCTATTTCCTGAGCTCAACTGACCTTCCCACCTTATCCTCCCAATCAGCTGGGCCCACAGGTATGTGTCAGCGCACCTAGCTAATTGTTTTAATTTTGTAGAAATAGGGTCTCCTTATGTTACCCAAGCTGGTTGTCAACTCCTAGGCCAAAGTCGTCCTCCTGCTTTGGCCTCCCAAAATGCTGGGATTACAGGCATAAGCCTCTATGCCCAGTCCATTTTCTTTTTAGCTTTCCTCAAATGTCTCATGATTGTTGGTTGTCTATTTGTATTTCTTTATATTTTTCTTTTTTGAGACAGGGTCTCCCTGTCACCCAGGCTGAAGTGCAATGGCGTGAGCCACCACACCCAGCCAACAGAATGTCTTAAATCATCACTAGTTGTGTGTTAATTGCCCATTAACTAAATATGATTGTTTTGCTAGCTAACAGGTAAACATAAAAAACATTACTCACCGGATTCTCATTTCCTTTTCTTGCCTCACGATTAATGTGGCCTTTCACGGCTTTTAACAACTTGTCTGTCTGCAAGAGAGATCTTATAATCAGAGCCAAAAATCAAACAAGAAAGACAAGGAATGTACTCTGGTCAGACCACAGGAATGCTCTAAGTCTCTGCTCTAAGGAATTTCACATCAGAGTGGAAAAGTTAGACAAGGAAAGAAGCAATTGCAATACAGTGGGGTAAATGCCCATGCTATGAGGCTCAGGCTGCCTTGGGAACATAGGTAGGCGTGGCCATTAAAGTTGGGACTGCTAGGGTAGACTTCAGCAAGTATCTGCACAGGGCAGTTCTCAGATAAAGATGTAATGTCTCTAATTGCTGAGATCTAAAGGATGAACAGGAGAGCTGAACGTAGAGAAACAGGTAAAGGAATAGCACGGCAAGGCAACAATGAGGGTGGAGTTTGCAGAACTGAAGTTCAGTGTGGCTGGAGCATGGAGCTGTTGCAGGAGATAACAGGAGACAATGCTGGGAAAGTGAGCAGCAGCCTCATGTTGCCAAGCCTTGTAAGCCTTTAAAAAGTATGAACTTTACTCTCAGAGAAAAGAGCAATCTCTGAAGAGTTCACAGCAAGGCAGTGGGTGATCAATTTTGCATTACTCAGAATGATTACTCTACCTGCACAATGCGCAAGATGATTTTGATGGGGATGAGACTCAAGACAAGGATACAGCTAGGAGGCTAATGTAGGAAACCAGAAATGCTGTGGCCTGAATTAGAATAGGGTTAAGGCTGTCTGGATGGAGTCAAAACCTTCTTAGGAAGTGAAATCAGTGTGAACATGAAAGTTGCAGAGGGAAACTTTGTTATGCCAAGGTTTCTGGCTTGGACAGCTGGTGATGTGTGGTGTGGTCCCTAAGATGAGAATTGCAAAAGGTGATAGGGTCTCAGGGAGAAGGTTATAGGTCCCTGTGGAGGGAAGGGAACACTGAGCTTCTCTTCCCAACCTAGGAAAGCTTCTCTTGTTGTTCTTTCCTGAAAGAAGATTAATTTGGTTGGTTACATTTTTCTGTGCTTTAAAAGTCAAGTTTATTGGTTGGGTTCTCTTTCCTTCCTCTTCCACTGAGCCATGCAGTTGAGGGCCAGAGCCATCCTTCTCAACATGTGCCCAGCTACCAGGTTTGGCTCTATTCTTACACCTTTATGATGGGCCATGTGTCTAGCAGAGAGAATGGCAAAGATCCTGAAATTTGGTTTGTGCTGAAGCTTTTGCTTGTGGTGCAAGTCTAAGCCAAATCTTCCAATCCACTATACCAGAATGCTCTGTGTCGACATATCAGGCACCATTTCAGCTAGTAATATAAAGTGGTATCTTATTTTCTACTTGTTCCTTGAACCATCCTTGGGGTTTTCTCTGGGAAGGGGGTGATTGGCAGGTCAGAATTCAGGTGTTCTTGATTCTTCTAACACCTTAATATACCTTCAAAATCTCACCAAACATACAAAAATGAAGTGAGGCACCTGTGGCAGAGCCGAAGGAGGAGACTGAATGATATGAGGTGGTGTTCAAGAGTTGTGCTAGAGGTACAGATGTTAGTTATCAGCATACATTAATGCATTCCTTCAACAAGCTTTTATTGTGCTGAGCACTGTTCCAGACACTAGAGAGTGATGAATTAAACAGACAAGGTAACTGGCTTCCAGGATCTTCTAGCAGTGGTGAAACAGTCTGTTACCCAAGAAAGCTAGAAATGAATGATATGACAAGAGGTATTATGAAGCAAAAATAAAACTGGGCAACTGGGGTGGAGTGGGGATGCTACCTGAATTAGGATGGTTGAGAAAGGCCTCTGAGGTGGTGGCCTGAACTGAGATGTCAATGAGGCAAAAGCACTCCAAGCAGGGTGAGCACCACAAACAGGAGCCCTGAGATGGACCCATGAGTTGAGGGACAGAAACTGCCCTTACGGTAGGAGCATGGTGAATACTGAAGTGGGAGGAAGGCAGAGAGATCAGAGGTGATCACAGGGTGGGTCAAATAGAGAGGTAAAGGCCACGGCCAAAATTAAGAATTTTTATAGGGCATAGTGACTCAGGCCGGTAATCCCAGCACTTTAGGAGGCTGAGGCGGGCGGATCACCCAAGGTTAGGAGTTCAAGACCAGCTTGGCCAACATGGGGAAACCCTGTCTCTACTAAAAATACAAAAATAGCCGGGCACAGTGGCTCAAGACTGTAATCCCAGCACTTTGGGAGGCCGAGGCGGGTGGATCACGAGGTCAACAGATTGAGACCATCCTGGTCAACATGGTGAAACCCCATCTCCACTAAAAATACAAAAATTAGCTGGTCATGGTGGCACGTGCCTGTAATCCCAGCTACTCAGGAGGCTGAGGCAGGAGAATTGCTTGAACCCAGGAGGCAGAGGTTGCGGTGAGCCGAGATAGTGCCATTGCACTCCAGCCTGGGTAACAAGAGCAAAACTCCGTCTCAAAAATAAATAAATAAATAAATAAATACAAAAATTAGCCAGGCGTGGTGGCAAGCACAAGCTTTGTAAGATGGTGACCTTAATAAAAGCAATTTCAGTAGAAAAGAACAGAGAAATCCAGCAGAAGATGGAATGAGGACATGCGGTCAGGAGAGGATTTTAGCTTTTTATTTTATTTTTTTTAATTTTTTTTTTGAGACAGAGTGTCGCTCTTGTTACCCAGGCTGGAGTGCAATGGCACAATCTCGGCTCACTGCAACCTCCGCCTCCTGGGTTCAAGCAATTCTCCTGCCTCAGCCTCCTGAGTAGCTGGGACTACAGGCACGCGCCACCATGCCCAGCTAATTTTTTGTATTTTTTGTAGAGACGGGGTTTCACCACGTTGACCAGGATGGTCTCGATTTCTCGACCTCGTGATCCACCCGCCTCGGCCTCCCAAAGTGCTGGGATTACAGGCTTGAGCCACCGCGCCCGGCCGCTTTTTATTTTTTTAAAAGATGGGTGATAGTAAAACATGATTGCATGCCTTATGGCAATAAGCTAGCAGAGTGGAGAAACTGATGCAGGAGAGAGGCTCTAATTGTAGGAGGCAGGAGGGCCCAGGATCTTCAGCATAAATGGAAAAGTTGCTTTTAGATGTTGAGAAACTTAACTTTACCCTGCCCCCATGATTCCTTTGTGGGGAATACCTGTTAGTTTGTAATTAGTGGTAGCTGGGTACCAGCTGCTTACTTGATGTATTTTTTGGTTATGAGTAAACAGAACACCTGTGTATTAATGAGACTCACCTGTCTAAGAGCAACTAAATACGTGGATGAAAGTCTGCTCCGGGCCTTCACCCTAGAGAACTGTAAGCCCCACAGGCTCTCAGGCTGTTGGTCCCCAAGTTAGATCCACTCTGTTGTGCTATCGGGGTGTCTGCCTCTCAAATACCTTCAGTGCTAGAAGGTTTGGTGGTGGGACCAAGCTCAGGGGCTCAAGCCTGTAATCCCAGCACTTTGGGAGGACAAGGCAGGAGGATCACTGAATCTCAGGAGTTGAAGACCAGACCGGCAACATAGTGAGACCTCAATCTCTATTAAAATTAAAAAAACTTGGCCAGGAATAGTGGTCATGCCTGTAGTCCTAGCTACTCAGGGGTCTGAGGTGGGAGGATTGTTTGAGCCCTAATCACACCATTGCACTCCAGAGAACTCCAGCCTGGCTGACAGAGCAAGAGCCTGTCTAAAAAAAAAAAAAAAAAAAAAAAAAAAAAAAAAAAAAAAAAAAAAAAAAAAAAAGAGGAAGAAAAAACGGTGGGGATTTGTTGGTTGAAGGATGAGGTAGTTTTCTGTTGATTGCATCTATTTTCCCATGCCCTAATGAGGTAAAGTCATCAAGGGAGGGAAGGAAGCCAAGTTGAGCCAAGATGATAAGAAGTATCAAAAGTAGGAAAGTTCATGACTAACAAGGAAATGGGCCAGATATGGTGGCATGTGCCTATAATCCCAACTACTTGGGAGGCTGACTTGAGCCTGGTAGATTGAGACTGCAGTGAGCCCTGATTATGCCACTGCAGCCTGGGCAACAGAACAAGACCTATCTCAAAAAAAAAAAAAAAAGAAAAAGAAAAGGATCAAATTCTCATTTTAAGGTTTATAGTCATATCTAAAATTAGCTCAGTCAACAAAGTTAGGTATTTTTCTGCAGCTACAGTTAGCTGCAGACGTATAAGCAAAGATTAAGCACATAGCTGGGTTTAATCAGGCTTGGGTTTTGCCAGGTGAATAGAGGGAGGTGCAAGGAAGTGGAAATAGTGCCAGTATTTGTAATTTAAGCTCACAAGAAAGGAAGTGAGGACATGGTTGAGAAAAGGTCCAGTAGCCACACAAACATTAATACCTGGTTTTTTCAGTTTGCTTTACCATTAAGAGAAGTCTCTCAAAAGAAAGAGCTAATATTGTCTCCTATAAATTTATTATTATTATTACTAGCTGGAGTTTTGCTCTTATCACCCAGGCTGGAGTGCAGTGGTGAGATCTCCGATCACTGCAGCATCCGCCTCCCTGGTTTAAGCAATTCTCCTGCCTCAGCCTCCTGAGTAGCTGGGATACAGGTGCCCGCCACCACGCCCAGCTAATTTTTGTATTTTTAGTAGAGACAGGGTTTCATCCTGTTGGCCTGGCTGGTCTTGAACTTCTGACCTCAGGTGATCCACCTGTCTTGGCCTGCCAAATGCCGGCATTATAAGCAGAAGACACCATGCCCAGTCATAAAATTATTAATAATATCATGCTAGTAAAATCTATTTAAATTGCAGTTTCATTTTCATCAAATCTTGATATCTCAGAGAAATTTATTAATATTTTTGCTATGTACTGGAATTTCAAAAGGCAATTGACTTAATGAGCTCTTGGGATGTACCAACAGTAAGTAATTTAAAACATATTATGGAAAATTTCAAACCTACAAAACTGGAGAGAATAGTACAATCCCATGTACCTATCACCAGTTTCAGTAATCATTAACATTATGCTACTCTTACTTCACCTAGTTTCCCCCTTTTTCCTCGAGTATTTTACAGCAAATTTTGCAATTATCATGACATTTCACCCATAAATACTTGATATGGGCCAGGTGTGATGGCTCATGCCTGTAATCTCAGCACTTTGGGAGGCCATGGCTGGAGGATCGCTTGAGCTCAGGAGTTGAAGACCAACCTCAGCAAGATGGCGAAACCCTATCTCTACTAAAAACACAGACAGACAGACAGAGAGAGAGAGAGAGAGAGAGAGAGAGAGAGAGAGAGAGAGAGATAGACACACACACACACACACACACACACACACACACACACACACGACCAGATGGCGAAACCCTATCTCTACTAAAAATACAGATACGCCTGTAATCCCAGCACTTTGGGAGGCCGAGGCGGGTGGATCACGAGGTCAGGAGATCGAGACCATCCTGGTCAACATGGATGAAACCCCGTCTCTACTAAAAATACAAAAAATTAGCTGGGCATGGTGGCACGTGCCGGTAATCCCAGCTACTCAGGAGGTTGAGGCAGGAGAATTGCCTGAACCCAGGAGGCGGAGGTTGCGGTGAGCCGAGATCGCGCCATTGCACTCCAGCCTGGGTAACAAGAGTGAAACTCCGTCTCAAAAAAAAAAAAGATTCCAGGCAACAAAAAAGCCTAAGGAATTTATAGCGGAGCCATTAACCGCTATAGCTCAGAAATATCCCCAAGGAAAACTCTTTGGTCATTCAGCTCCAACAGGCCCCTGGCTCTAATTATTTTATTTAAACCATTTAAAAACGTTTGTGATGACTGATTTAGGCATTTATTCAGTGTCAGTATTAAAGCCTGCAGGACAAACCTCCAGGGTATACAGCAGTATTAAGTGGAAAGTCTCAACTATTAATAAAATATATAAAACTGCAATCCTACATTGAATGCCCAAATCTTTTTTCTTTTTTGAGAAACAGAGTCTGGCTCTGTCACCGAGGCTGGAGTGCAGTTGCCTGATCTCGGCTGACTGCAACGTCCGCTCCAGGGTTCGGGCGATTCTCCAGCCTCAGGCTCCCAAGTCGCTGGGGTCACAGGCGTGTACCACCACGCCTGGCTAATTTTTTAATGACTAGGCTGGTCTCCAACTGTTTTTTTTTTTTTTTTTTTTTTTTTGGGACGGAGTCTCGCTCTTGTTACCCAGGCTGGAGTGCAATGGCGCGATCTCGGCTCACCGCAACCTCCGCCTCCTGGGTTCAGGCAATTCTCCTGCCTCAGCCTCCTGAGTAGCTGGGATTACAGGCACGTGCCACCATGCCCAGCTAATTTTTTGTATTTTTAGTAGAGACGGGGTTTCACCATGTTGAACCAGGATGGTCTTGATCTCTCGACCTCGTGATCCACCCGCCTCGGCCTCCCAAAGTGCTGGGATTACAGGCTTGAGCCACCGCACCTGGCAAGGCCTCCAACTCTTGACCTCAGGTGATCCGCCTGCCTCGGCCTCCTGAAGTGCTGGGATTACAGGTGCGAGCCACTGCGCCCGGCCAGTTTACCTAAACATCTTGCAGCCTCGGAGTCAAAGACCTTACTGGTTTTGAACGAGACCATTACCACAATAGTCATCAATAAGTACATGACTACACTAGATCAGCGCTGAGTTATAAAAACTCACTCATGGAGGTGGTCCCCTAAAGGTCGCTTTTTTTTTTTTTCCTGACAGGTCCACCAACAAAACATCAAGAAACTGTTGGGGAGTTTTCCAGCAGCTAAGCCAATTATGTATTTAACTTTCTAACGATTAACAACAGGGCTTTCTGAGCCTGCGTTTCGTCATCAATGCCCTGAGAGGTATAAAGTAATTCAAAAACAAAACAAAACAACAAACCAGCCCTTTCGGAACTGAGGCTTATCACATGAACACCAAGAGCAGCCAGCCTCAAAATGAGGTGATAACTACAGTTCTTTTTCCGTTTCGCCTGAGTTCTAACTGGGACCACCATGAACTACCTCTACAGCCCGAGGGGCAGGGACAGCCGCCTCAGCCCCAGGGCTTCCCGCTCTGTCCCTTCGCACCACATCTTCCCGAGGCCGCTATTCCCGCCGCGCCCGCCCAGGAGCCTGCACCGCCAGCGCCGTACCCTCAGGTTGGCCGAGAGACCCAGACTCTTGGCTAAGTTCTGCAGGTCTCTGTACTTGAGGGAGTCCAGCTCCTCTAGGGAGGGGACGACCATCGCGATTCGAAATTCCGGCGATACGCAGAAGACGGATCACACAACTCCGGTAGCACGGTTGAGATCCCGGACTCCAAACAAATTTATCTACGGTTTAAAAATGAAGAATGCCGCGCTTCCATTGGTTGAAAATGCCCCAAAGGCGGGATTTCTAACCCTGACCAATAGAAAGGCTGATTTCCCGTCCCATCAGACGCGCGCTTTTCCCGCATCTGAGGGATGCGCAGGCGCCTGAAAGGCCCGTAGGGCGTGTGTAGGTAACGGGCGCAGAGCAGAGCCCGCTGCTCCCGATGTCCAATGAGGACGCAGGAGCTGTGCTTGGGGCGGGGCCTAGCGTGCATTCGAAACGGAGGCGCCGGCTGCAGGGAGATGGCGGCTCAGCTGTGGCGGCGTGTGTCGCCGCGTGCAACGCAGACCCAGGTTGACTTTTGTGATGGCACTGAGAGGACGATTGACGAAGCTTCTTTTACGACCTCCATGGAATGGGATACTCAGGTGGTGAACGGGTCCTCGCCGCTCGGCCCCGCGGGGTTGGAGGCTGAGGAGCTGGCCTCCGGCCAGCAGCTACCATCTTGGCTGCAGCCTAAGCGGTGCGCTGTGTTCCAGTGCGCACGGTGCCACGCAGTGCTCGCCGATTCGGTGCATCTCGCCTGGGACCTGTCGCGGTCTCTCGGGGCCGTGGTCTTCTCCAGTGAGTGCAGTGCGGCATTCGGGAAAGGTAGATGCGAGCCGGAGAGGCTGTTCCGATTTCTCTCTCCATCGGTGGAAGAGAACCACCGGGGGAAGAAAACGGTGTGAAAATTTGGAAGGCAATAACTCCGTGGCCGGAGGATGGGGCAGGGAACCGGGGAGTCTCCTGATGTTTATGGCGAGGATGAGTCTGTCTATAGGAGAGATTTTGCGTTTATTTATTTATTTATTTTAGGCAGAGTTTCGCTTTGTCGCTAGGCTGGAGTGCAGTGTCGCGATCTCGGCTCACTGCAACTTATGCCTCCCAGGTTCAAGCGATTCTCCTGCCTCAGCCTCTTGAATAGCTGGGATTACAGGCACCTGCCACCACGTCCGGCTAATTTTTGTATTTTTAGTAGAGATGGGGTTTCACCATGTTGGCCAGGGTGGTCTCGAACTCGTGACATCTTGATCCGCCTGCCTCCGGCCTCCCAAAGTGCTGGGATTGCAGGGATGAGCCACCGCGCCCAGCCTGAGATTTTTTCCATTTCAGGGCCCGAAGATGTTGGGTTCTGACCCATGTTTGTCTTTTTAGGAGTTACAAATAACATCGTTTTGGAAGCGCCCTTCCTAGTTGGCATTGAAGGTTCACTCAAAGGCAGGTACGTATTGAAAATTACATATTGGTCTCTAGTCCCGGACTTTATGAGACTGAAGAGAGTGGAACTGACATATACTTCTTTTTGAGACCAGGTCTCAGTCTGTCGCCAAGGCTGGAGTACAGTGATGCCATCATAGCTCACTACAGCCCCTACCTTCCTGGCTCAAGCTATCCTCCACCCTCAGCCTCTGGAGTGGCTGGGACTACAGGCACACACCACGAAGCCTGGCTGATTTTTACATTTTTTGTAGAGACCTTACCATATTGCCCAGGTTTGATATTAGAACTTTTAAGTTTGCAAATATGATTAGTTTGTAATAAGCAATGCCAGGGCTAATTCTTCAGTAACCCCAGAAACTGGACAAAAATGCAACTAGAATGTTTTGTACTTCAATACTGCCTGGTAAGCTTTGCGTCCTGCCTCTACTATGATTTACAAGTGATTGTAACAAAGTACTCAGTGAATTTGATATTACTAGGCTCCTGAAGTTTGAGTTTTAGCTTTAACAGTTTATTTCATTCTGACCAGTTTGATTCAATGTTAGGGTTAAAGTATAGGAATTCTTACTTGCTTTTTCCAGAAACCAGAAAGATTTCTGCAGCTTGGACAAACTTCACAAACTGAGTTAGAACCACAGCGACCTTTCTTTTTCCTGAATAAAAGACACTCCCTATCACTAAAGGAGTCCCCGTCCCCTTCCCACCTAGAGAGGACAAAGCAAGAAGGAGTAGTGGCCTGCTTGGAACTGGGTATATTTTGGGGCTAGAAGCAGAAGCTTACTGAATGTCTTCTTGGAGAAGAGGCTAATCAATCTAGACCTGTGCTGTCCTATACTGTAACCACTAGTCATATGTAGCTATTATATATTATTAAATCTGTATTGAGATATGCTATGAATGCAGAATACACATTGGCTTTCAAAGACTTAGTACAGAAAAATTAATCATTTAAAAATATCGATTACATGGTGAAATGACATTTTTGATATACTGGGTTAAGTAAAATATTTAAAAACTAATTTCGCCGGGCGCGGTGGCTCAAGCCTGTAATCCCAGCACTTTGGGAGGCCGAGGCGGGTGGATCATGAGGTCAAGAGATCAAGACCATCCTGGTCAACATGGTGAAACCCCGTCTCTACTAAAAATACAAAAAATTAGCTGGGCATGGTGGCACGTGCCTGTAATCCCAGCTACTCAGGAGGCTGAGGCAGGAGAATTGCCTGAACCCAGGAGGCAGAGGTTGCGGTGAGCCGAGATCACGCCATTGCACTCCAGCCTGGGTAACAAGAGCAAAACTCTGTCTCAAAAAAAACAAACAAACAAACAAACAAACTACTTTCACCTGTTTTTTATTTTTTAAAGCAAAACTAATAGAACATTTAAAATTACTTACGTGTCTCACATTATATTTCTGTTAGACAATGCTAGTTTAGATACTTTGTAAAAAACTGGAAAGTCCCACGGGTTTCTGTATTGTGGAACAAAATGAGCTATAGGACTTGTGGAGAGGGTTATGAAATGGCACAGGTCAAGAAGACTTTATATGTGTATTTTTAAGTGTGTGTTCATTACCTAGATGGGATCAGAGAATGAATTAAGATGATGACTAGGCCACGTGTGGTGGATCATGCCTGTAATCTCAGCACTTGGGGAGGCCAAGATAGGTGGATTACATGGTCAGGAGATTGAGACCATCCTGGCCAACATGGTGAAACACCATCTGTACTAAAAATACAAAAATTAGCCGGGCATGGTGGCACACATGCCTATAGTCCCAGCTCAGCTGCTCAGGAGGCTGAGGCAGGAGAATCATTTGAACCCGGGAGGCAGAGTCTGCAGTGAGCTAAGATTATGCCACTGCATTCCAGCCTGGTCAACAGAGTGAGGCGAGGCTCTGAGTGGGAAAAAAAAAAAAAAAAATGATTACTGATGCAGCTAAAAGAGTATAAATTTTGGAGAGCAAAGACTTGGGCTTTTTTAACTTTACCTCTTAACAAGGCATGTAAAATAAATTGTTCCCTCTCAGTCTGTCATATTTGGTTTTTTTTTTCTTGAGACGGAGTTTCGCTCTTGTTACCCAGGCTGGAGTGCAATGGTGCGATATCGGCTCACCACAACCTCCACCTCCTGGGTTCAGGCAATTCTCCTGCCTCAGCCTCCTGAGTAGCTGGGATTATAGGCACGTGCCACCATGCCCAGCTAATTTTTTTTTTTTTTGTATTTTTAGTAGAGACGGGGTTTCACCATGTTGACCAGGATGGTCTTAATCTCTTGATCTCGTGATCCACCCACCTCAGCCTCTCAAAGTGCTGGGATTATAGGCTTAAGCCACTGTGCCCGGCTCATATTTGAATAATTCTAAAATGTACTCCATCCCCACATTTAAACATTCTACAGTTGGCATGAGCCTCCTAGATTCACAGTCATAAAGGAGACAGATACAAGGTTACTTCTTCCATCTACATTTTTTTGTTCTCTTACTGGTAGAGGATTTATTGTAACTACTTTTAAAGAGGATTATTATAGTATGCTGACACATAGAAATAGCTTTGTTACTCAGCAGTTGTTGTGCTCAACAGCTTTTTTTTTTTTTTTGAGACGGAGTTTCAGCTCTTGTTACCCAGGCTGGAGTGCAATGGCACTATCTCGGCTCACCGCAACCTCTGCCTCCTGGGTTCAGGCAATTCTCCTGCCTCAGCCTCCTGAGTAGCTGGGATTACAGGCACGCGCCACCATGCCCAGCTAATTTCTTGTATTTTTAGTAGAGACAGGGTTTCACCACGTTGACCAGGATGGTCTCGATCTGTTGACCTCCTGATCCACCCGCCTCGGCCTCCCAAAGTGCTGGGATTACAGGCTTGAGCCACCGCACCCGGCCATCAGCATATTTATTTACATGGAATTTTGATTGTATTATAAATGAAGTACTTTTTTTTCTAATTGTTACTGAAAATTCAAACACAAGAGAGAAGAGTATAATGAACCTCTGTCTACCTTTCACTAAACTAGAGCAGCTATCAACCCTTGGTGAATCTCTAATTTTACCTGAAATTATAGTTGGCTTGGTGTGCTGGCTCACACCTGTAATCCCAACGCTTTTGGAGGCTAAGGTGGGAGGATAACTTGAACCTAGGAGTTCAAGACCATCCTGGGCAACATAGCAAGACTCTGTCTCTAAAAAACAAAACGAATCATCTATCTTCCATAATGTTTTGAGGCAAATACCTGACATTATATAATTCCATCCGTAAATATGTGGTGAGGATCTTTATAAGAAACTTTTTTTCTCTTATTTTTTGAGATAGGATCTGGATCTTTGGCCTTCCAGGCTCCAGCCATCCTCTCACCTCAGCCTCCCAAGTAGCTGGAACTATAAGGGGTGCACCAGCATGCCCACCTAATTTTTTGTAGAGATGGGGTTTCACCATGTAGCCCAGGCTGGTCTTGAACTCCTGAACTCAAGTGATCTGCCCACCTTTGCCTTCCAAAGTGCTGGGATTATAGGCGTGAGCCACTGCACCCAGCCGTTCTATTCTTTTTATAGATATAACCTAATTATATCTATAAAAAGCAAAGTATGTTATTGGGAAACTACATTTAATGATTTAATGTTGTTTGTAGATGGATCCTTTTTTGTGTATGGTGGAGTCTTGCTTTGTAGCCCAGGCTGGAGTGCAGTGGTGTGATCTTGGCTCATTGCAGCCTCTGTCTCTTGGGTTCAGGCAGTTCTCTGCCTCAGCCTCCCGAGT